CCATGGTTTTAAGGAGTGAAGAGAAACATTGTTTCTGAAAACACTCTGACAGGTGCAATTAGACACTTCATCTCTTTTCCAGAGAAAGGAGACATTTTACACTTCCAGATGGATCAAAATGTAGCCTTCAATCACACAGTTAATGTTAAGACACTATTATAAACTGTAAAATGAATTTACAGAGTTTTGATTTCATAAAACCATATAGTTATTTAGGTTGCAAGAAACCTTGGGAAAGTCCAAAGTTCAACCTGTAGCATAAAGCAGAATCAGCACCAAATTTAACCAGGTTGTTCAAGGCTTTGTCTAGTTCAGTACTGAAAAGCTCCTTGGAGACAAACCTCACATTTTCACTGGGAAACCACACCAGTGCTTAAGTACACTCATTGAAATAATTTCTTCCTTATATCCAGTCAGAATATACTCTCTTCCAATTCATGAACAGACATTCTAGGTAACTTTCCTGGGTACAGGCAGGCTGCTGTTAGGTGCTCCAAAGTTGCCCATGATCTGAAACAGCTGTTTGTTATCCTGTATCAGTATGGGCTATCCCTGTGCCTGGAGGAGGCTGCCCTGGAAGACCTACCAGCTCTTTTGGGCTCTGTCACCTTCACAGTTGCCTTCCACTGCACTCAGCCAAAGACCTGTGCTGGAGGCTGATTTTTATGACATTACTTTTAAAGTTTTACTCTGGTTTTGTTTGTTTGTTTCCTTTGGGTTTTGATTTTGTTCTTTTTTTTCTTTCCTTTTTTTTTTTTTCCCCCCAATCCTTTTTTTTGTTTGTTTGGTTTGGTTTGGGGTTTTCTGTGAGGTTTTTAGAGGTTGGTTTGTTTGTTTTGTTGGTTTTTTTAAGTCAAGAATTCTTTTCAGTTGGGAAAAAATTATGAGACATATCAGAGAAGTCAAAATGTATTTGACTGATAAATGCAAAACAAAATGTACTGCTAAAAAGCATAGTCTTTTTTCTTGTTTAGTTGTGTGAATATATGTTTCTTTAGATATTCTCATTTTTGCTGAAGGAATGAGAGCATAATCCATTTAGCATTGGCATAAAATATACATTTTTATTTGATTGTTATCCTCTTTGGCCAGGTTTGTTTGCATGATAATTTCAAAGTGATTCGAGTCCTGAAATGCTGAAAATCAGCCTGTTTTGTATGTGGCTCAGCTTTCCCTTTCTCTGCTTCCTGAAAATCTGGAAATGTGTTTTTGATAGAGAGAGGATCAGCTCCAAATCATAAAACTAAATACCCTTCAAACTTCAGGGAATTCAAGCTGCCAACCAGACTTCAATCCTGAGTTTAGTAAATGTCAACACTCTTCCTTGGGCAGTGAAGTGGGGTGAAGGAAGAAGTGTTAAATAGGATGGAGAGCTGCTTTAATTACTTGAGTATTTTTTAGTTCTTTTTACTTAATTTAGGAACACTTGGTTATTTCATATCCTGTGACACTGCTTAGCCTTCTAATCTGGTGCTTTGGTTAGATGGAGAGAAGCAAAAAGACAGCTGATGATGAAACAGCATGGATGTTATTACGTGACTACAAAAATGCCAGAAAGTTGTCCCATTTACATTTATAATTTGTAAGTATCTAGAAATATAGAAATATGATTTGAGGCAGTGACTTCATCTAAAAAGAATTACCAGTTCAAAGCATATTAGTGCATGGCTGCTGAACATAGCTTGGAATTATGGGTTTACTTATCAGCATTAATTGGATTAAATTACCTGCTCTGAAATATAAGCCCTTTGAGGAAAAACAATGCTTTTCCAGCTGGCTTTAGAAATGTTCAGACAGGCTTTGTTTTAAAGCAACATGAAGGTGAGTTTGAAAACACTGAGTGTACGAAATGGTTGCCAGGATGTGGTTAGAAGGGGCAGCGTTTGGTCTGGAAGGGGCTTTTTGCTGTCAGACTTCCCAGGTGAAGAACAGAGCCCCAGCTGGGCTGTGACACTGTGGAGCAGTGACTGGGCCAGGTGCAGAGGAGGTGGGGAACAGCCCCAGGAGATGGCTGGGACCCTGTGAGCCCCATGCACAAGCAAGGGAGAGCAGGGCAGGGCATGCAGTGAGAGAAACAAAGCAGCATGAGGACAGCTCAGGCACAGCACTTCAGGAAAGTGAGGGTGCCCACAAATTCAGTTACCCATTGCCTAGAATATGGGACACCGAGGAGACAAAGTGACTCCATGGATCAATATTTGCAGTCCTCCCTATTTGCAATTACATGGAACCAGTAACTTGACATTTCTAACTTGGATGTGCTTTTACATACAAACAATATCTTCTAAATATCCCCCACATACCCCAGCAAATATTCTCTTTGTTTTGCTTTTTTGCTATGAGTAAAATCTTAAAATCTGTATTTGATGCTCGTCTTTATTATCGTGCTTCATCAGTGACCACCAGACTGCAATGTGATGTGGCTAGATGCACTTTTAATCCAAGAGTATGATTGCTATATTTTAACTAAGTATTTTTATTTCCCCAAACAATTTTTTGCACTGTAAAAGTCTGATGCATTGTGCATGAAATGTGTCTTTTCAGGACAGCCACCAGCTGTCCTGTCATGCATGTTCGTATGTTACTGACAGGAATTTCTTTACCTGTTGATTCACGCTAGCTTGTTTCATTGTGTAGTTGAGCACCTTATTTCGTAATGCCATACTTAGGATCAGTTCATTCTGACAATCTGATTGTGTCAGAACATCTTGAGGCATATATATAAAGACATTGAGCCATGCACTTATTGGTCAGAGCAGGAAGCCCTGTGAGTCTTTACTTCCAAGTGACACTGTGGCATTAAATAACTGGCAGAGCTGAAGGCAGGATGCAGAATGGAAGTTAGGAAAAATCATAAAATAAGATTGATAGCTACTTGCTATGAGAAGGTCAATGGGCAATGCTCACTGATGTAATTTCCCTCCATTTACTACAATTTCCGTATTTAATATTGCAATTAAACCACATAACCAAAAGTCTTCACTTCTACAAAAAATACCATTCCATGAAGCTTCATCATACTAACTGTATATAACATGCCTTCTTTTCTGTCCCTAACTTTCCCTTTCTCATCTTTGAAAATTATGCACTCTGGATCCTAGCAATTCCTGTCTGAAATACTGAAGAGTAGTGACACAAGGGTGCTGTGAATTGTGCAAGAAATGGCAGAGTAAACAACAGGAGACAAATTTGCCTTACAAACACAATATAATTTGGAAACAAATGTCCATTAACCTATAGTTAGGTGAAATCATATTTAAAGTGTTTGCCTTACTAAAGGGTGTTGCTAAAGAGAGGGTGCTAAGAGCTCGGTGGTAGCTGAGCACCAAAGTGCTTAATTGGAAATGGTTTGATTATTGCAGGGCACACTTACAAGAACTTTGGCTTGGGAGTGTTAATGTATTTGCTTGTTTTGCATCTGAACAACAGTTTCCCAGGGAACCATGTACTGTCATTTGTGTGGAGAAAAAAGTGAGAGGAACCCAGAGTCTGTTAGAAGTGGAGCTGGCTGTTGTATGACCCCTTGTAAGACACCATATTCAGCTACTTGTAACTTTGTTGAACTGGAATAACTTATGTTGAAGTCTTTTTCAAGTGATAGAAATGGAAAAAATCTATCCCATACTTTGGAGTGGTGTGGACATAAACAGTGAAATGTAGGAACCTTCAGGTTAAATGGCAGTGGCTCCCTGACTCTCAGACATACACCATCATCAATTCCTCTTACCCATAATTAGAGGTAATCTCAATCTTGCCCTGTATCCCATAAGGGTGCACACCTTTTTGAAAACTGCCCCTACAAGTGCTATAATTCATAGGGTGCACAGTGGGGTGTTTGATTATCTAGCAGTTGCTCTCTAAAGCAGCTAGGATGTAATTCTCCTCGTCACAGAGAGGAAATGATACAAAAGGGAAGCCTTTTTTCTGACAATTAGAAATGGTGACAAGAACAATGTATGATCTTCAATGAAACCAAACTTTTTTTATGTTACAACAGTAATGACACCAAAAAAACCTAATTCAGGTTTATGTTTTGTTGAAATCATGTATTCGATTAACAGTTACGTTCCTACTTTGTTTTTCAAAAACTAGGGGCTCAGAAGTTATTCTTGTGCATTTCTTCTTTAAATCTTTTGAAACTAACAACCCTTCATCTCCAGTCTGTCATCTCTGTCATCGTTTTAGCTTGATGTTGCTTCCTTTTCCTGCTCAAATTCTTCTATCACAGCAAGGCAGAGCTGAGAAGATGGGATTTGGCCCATTCATTGACACCTGCTTGCTTGTACTGAACATGAGACATGGAAAATTACTTTGTAGTTTGATTAATTTTCAGAGTTTATTTCACTTGTTGGCTGAAACCAGTCAGCAGTAGGTAATTCATAACTTTCCTCAAACCCTTTCACCTAGCCCCACGTGGTACTTGGAGGTCAGAAAAACACATTCCCTATGTAAGAAATGATCCAATCCTGTCATGGCTTTGGTGCCAGCAGTGTCCTCTCTGTCAGGTGCAATGCTGTCTTTGCACCAGGACAGCTCTGCAGGTGGTGGGCAGGCTGTGGGAAGGCACACTGGAGAACACCTCTGATACACACGGGAAGTTGGGGTCATGCATGGCATCATATGCGAGCAATGACCTTCCTCAGATCAGTCTCACAAAGAAGCTCCAGATGAAATCTGGTAGAATAATTTCCATGCATACAGTCCGAGCCTTGGGAACTTTTCACTTGCTTGAAGTGGGCAACACTAATCTGATCAAAGGTTTCAAAGGAAAAAAGAAAAGCAAATACTGTTTTGAACCTATATTCAAGGAAGAGAACATTTCTGTTATAAATACACCATAGCATTATTTGAACTAAGAAATTTGTGTAAAGGGGAGTCAGTATGGGCATTTAACTTGCCATTATTTTAGTTTCCTGTTTCTTTCTTCCTTGACAAAACAAAACAAAAAACCCCCCAAAAAACAAAAACCATAACTTTAATTGTGACTTTTATATTTTCAGGGATTAAGCATCTGAAGAGCCAGAGTGATTCAGTGTTTCCAGAAGAAGAAGAGGGAGTTGGTGAAAGGGAAGAGGAGTGGGGCCATTAACCAGGGCAGAGCTGTCCCGAGCCCCATCACAGAGAGTAACTGAACTGTGGGGCCGTGCGTGTGCCAGACCCTCCACCGCCTGCTCCATGTGCCTCTGGGGCTCCCTGGGAAGTGCCCTCAAATGGGCTTCACAGACACCTGCAAATGTGTCCTGTGACCCCTATACCTGAAGATAAAACAGTTATTTTAAAGTCATTTTTCTTTCATTTTCTATGACTTAGAAACGTAATCTGCAAATGTGTTAGCTACCTGACATCAGTACTGCCAGAGCTTAACTACTGTGTGTGAGCTGTACTCTAAGGCTTGTTGTAAATAAAACTGATTTAAAATGTGCAAAATAAATAATACATTAATTTCGACAAGACTGTCTATCGTACAGAGGGTTTGTCTAGCGCACAGAGAAATGTTCATATAAAATGATCCTTTCAGTTAAGGGCAGTTTTTGCCAATGTTGGTAGAGTTACTTGCAGTAATGTGGATAGAAAGAAGGTAACAAAGTAAGCAGAGGTGACTCTTTGTCTGTAGAAGGATGCAAAGACACTCTTCTCTGTGTTCCCTGGATGCTTAAAGTGCTTTTCTTGCTTTTGGTCTGAGGCTGCCTAGTCACAGCAGCCAAAATGATTTCTCTTTACATGAGATCATTGTTATCTGGAGGCATTAGAAAAGGTTTCACTTTGGGAGTCAGAGGTAACACAGGCATGTGGGAGCTGTAAGAAGGATTCCATGCACCAGCTGAGCCATGGGAAATGCCGATATTCACCTTCATCACCTGCAGCAAGTACAGTTACAGCCTTCTCTGCCTGCATTTGTCACAATTTCAGTCAGTAAGTGACAGCATATCAAGCTGCAGAAATTTAACTTGTGTCTGAGCCCTAGGTTTATGGTTGAAGTCTGTCATGGTTCATACCAACCTTTTCATTTGTTAGACTGTGCAAACTCTATGGCATAAAATGAAATAAGGTGGAGAAGGAAAAACATGTTTTGTCAAAGTGACACCTAAGAGATTATTTCCATTTTTTATCAATGGCAAATTTTTTAATGAATTCACTGTCATTTTGTATTAACTGTTTGCCTTTGATACAAAGTTTTACCCTCAGTTTAACTTTCCCCTGCTTTAAGTCTCTTTTAAAGGGTTGAGCTAGCAAAAAAAAAAAAAAGAGATGACTTATATGAAAACACAGAGCCTTTTGTCTATGTCTTGCACGGTGATTTCACTTTTAATTCGAGGTCTTCCACAAAGACTTGCTGAGAACAGGATCTGTCGACAAGTGTTCTTTTATATTTGAGAGTCATTTTTTCTCTCCATCTGTATCTCTGTATCTGTCCTCTTTGGTTCCATTTTCAGTAGAAACATTGCAAGCAGGATCCATGACTCCAGCTCAGCAAGGGTATGCAAGAAGGACTAAAAGAAGGACTCTTCAGTTATACAGAAGCAGCTATGGGACTTAGAGGACTGGGAGCTGTTTATGTCACAAACAACAAAAAGATGGAAATGACCCTTCAGAAACTGTTTGAATGGCCCCAAGTTAGGACTGTAATGGCAGCAAGAAGAGCTGGGCTCCAGTCCCAGCTTTGCCATGGCTTTGCTTTTGTTCAGCACCAGGCTCTTCACATAATTGCTCACGGTCACAGTACTCCCAAGTTGTGAATCAGTCATTGGTGTTTAACCTCACACCCTCCCTCTGTGTTGCTAGCTAATAAAGCACTTTGGATATTAATGGCTTTTTACTGGTTATTAGTACCCACAGGCTCCAGATGAGAACTCTCTAGGACCTATGGGCAAATGAAAACATGTACATGATTTATAACAGCTGATACCAGGAAAAGGTATTGAACACTTTGGAATCTCAGCATTTCAAAGGCAACACACAAAACACCTGATAAGAGCTTGGAGAATTCATCACTGAACACCCTGTTTCAGGATGACTGTTGGACCTGAGTATGATTACACTTTAAAAATAATAGGGAAAAAACCCCAACCAGATTTAGTTTGAACTGGATCTGAGTGTTTCCAGAATTATAACTGCAGCAATGCGAGGACAACAATTCTATTTTGCAGAATTTGTGATCTGGATGAATCATCATAGTCCACTAAGAGTGTCAGATAGCCATGCCAATATTTAGATACATCTCTAAAGCCAGATCTTATCATCTCCCCATGTCTAATAATTCCACCTTTGTTTTATCATGTTAAAATCCCATTTCTTTCTCTCTTTATTTACACAAATTTATGCAAGATGCATATCTGAGTATAGGAACTAATTTCTGGCAAAGGGCAGGACTTGTTGCAGAGATTTTATTATGGATCCACCCTGACATCATTTGCTGGTAGGACCTCATCTGAACAACAAAGTCAAGATGCTCATATTTTTTATACATCCACCATTTGTAGCTTAAAACAGAAATTCTGTTTGTCTAATCTTCCACGTGTGAGGTATACAGAAAGTGGAGTTATAGGGAAAAAATCTGTAAAATAACAGAGCCCAGAAAAAAAGTGCTTGTCATGAAGCAGAGCTGAAATACTGCAGTGTATTGACAGCGAGCCTTGTGGCAGAAATGTTTGGGTGTGTGGATATCAGAGAGGAAGGTCAGGAAAAGCAGTCTGTTTACTAAACCAGGTCTTTGCTGGGTTTTGGTGCAGCTGCTGACATTTAAGAACAACAGCCTTAGGTAGAGAGCCTCCCGTATGCTTTGGCAGGTAACTGAAAGCTCTGTTTGTCTCACAGCATGGTGAACTCCTCATAGGTGCACTCCACGATGGAGATTTCTTTGTGGGAGTCCATGGTCAATCGTTGTCCAATGTGTTTATGTCGCCAAGCACAGACGAAAACAAACACAAAAATCCATTAATGTCGGGTTTTTTTAGTGTAAACAAATCAACAGGGGATTGAGAAACGACACAAAAAGTTAGTAAACACTAACGTGTCTCAAAGAAAATGCCAATATGAAAACATCCTAAAGAAAAACTGTGATGATATGTTCCCTATCTGAGCTGTCTCCTCTCACAACACCTGCTTCTTCTGGGGAGTTCTACATGTTTGGTGGAAGCAAGATTTTTACTGAGTTGTATTAGTTTGTTTCCCACAAACAGGCTGATGGAAAAAGAGAGCAGAAAAAGGCTTTCCAGGCAAGTAATGAACACAGTTTTTTCTTAAAGAGCAACTCTGATTTGTATCTTTTCCCCTTCCCCCATCCCTGTTCTTATATTTGCCACTTTTCCCTCCTGTGGTATGTTTGCTGTTGTTCTGGCTTTCAAGTTATTGCAGGAAATGTTACTTGCAGAATTGAAAGAAAGCTGTTGCCTCAGACTGATCTCAGTCTATTCCTGGTATCCCTTAACTCACTAATGCAGAGTGGTTTAGAGGTGTTTCATTATTGTGTTTTACAGCCCTATTTCTTATGCTACACTCATTATTCCGTGACAGGTTCTTCACTCCAGAGTGATTTACTGAGAGATTGTGCTAATAAGTTATCTGGAAAAATTACATGATTTGACTTTGAGGATGGTATATGTTGTTTATCCTCCACGTGCAAAACCAGATAATACTTAAATAGATATTAAGATTCAAGATTTAAAACTCCTTTCTGAAGCATAATTTCCACTGAACTCAAAGGAATTTTGCTTGAGAAAGACCCCAGGTTTTGGCCAACAACATACCTTCCTTTGAGGAAATATAATGTTTAGTATACAGGAAAGTTTTTATTATCCTGCTATCAGTTTAATTATTGAATTTCTTTCCTTATTTTTTTTTTTTAATATTGCTATGAATTCTGCTAAAGTCTTCAAGGACTTACCCAGTTTCTTCTCATAATGTCACCAGTTCTCCTCAGTAATGTAAACTGAAAAATCACCACTAGTTCTTGTACTGTTGGTGTTATTTAACCAAAATTGTTACAGCCAACACTACTGTTCTTACTCCAAGGTGGTGTTGCAAGCAGAGGCTCTGTTGCCTGTGCTTGGGTCAGGGACTCCCACAGTGCCCAGGATCCAGGCAATCAGTAAGGAAGGGACTTCCAGCTCATCTGCACTTCCTCTAACAGAATATGACACCGGGGACCAGGTGAGTGGTGGCTTTTGCTCTAAAAAAAAAAGCATTTATTTTATTCCAGAAGGCAAAGTATTGGGTGGCTGTCACAGCTCTCTCCAGAGATGAGCTGGGTAGGCTGCAGTGCTGTGGGTAGCTGGGAAGGGACCTTAACAGGGCTTCTGCAGGTCTGCTTTTGTTTAAGCCTAGCAGCTAGCACTGTACAGCAAAATGTCCCTAGCTCAGTGCAGGGTTCCCCTCCTCATATTTTTTCTCTTGAGACATGTTTGGTTTATGAGGGACCTTATTCCTGTAGTACATAAGGCATTGTCTCTCCTCTAACCCTGGGGCATGCTGTTCAGGGACATGCTGTCCCTCAAGACCCTCTTTCTCCCAGTCCTATTGCATCCATGTTGCTGCTTAGGCCCATAGATGTTTCTTTTCTTTCTTTGTTTTCTCTTCAGCTCAGTGCAATGGTGAGCTCCAGAAAGAGCCTCAGTTGTTCTATTGATTCCTGATGTGCAATTACATCTAACCTTTTCATGCACAGCATTATACTTGGTAACAAAGTGGATGCTAAATGCTTTGGTATATTCTCCCCTTTGTCCTCCAGTGAGGACAGCAGCACTTTGAGCAAATCTCCAGCAAGACATTTTGCACCCTCTACTAATCTCAGGCCACTTGGTAAGATGCTGCTAATCTCCAGTTACATCAAGGAGGGCTGATGGAGTTTATACAAGCTCAGTGCCCATATTCTGCTACAGATTTTTTGTTTTGTTTTATTTCTTAAGTAATCTTGGGTTTTTAGGGCAGAAAAATTATTTTGTAATACTGTCAAGACAAACATACTCTTTCAATTTTGTAATAACTCATTTGCCTAGTATATACTGACCCTTAGTGGTAAGTTGAGATTTTAATTGCATTGCCAAGTTCCTTAATTTTGCTTCTCTCTTTGGCCCAACTGTTCAGAAAATGGCAGGAATATTTGCTGTGCATCAGGGTAGTCTATCTATGTAAATAGCCCACAATGTCTTCAACAGACATTAACAGGCATGTGAAAATAATGATGACAGGTGTTATTAGCTCTTCTGAAGGAAGGGCTGTGGTAAGCAGGAGTGTCGAAAGGTTATTCCAAAATGCAAAACAAAAACGTTGTCATTGAGAAGCAATACTCTCCACATAATGAGAAACAAATAAGAACTCAGTATCTGGCACTAACGAACACCTCAAGCTAACTGTGGAATGGGTATTAATTAGGTTTCCAAAATAGCATCTTTCTGAAAAGCAGCTGAGGTGTAATATTGCTCCTTATTAATCAAAGCAATGGGACAATGTGAACCCTGCAAAAAATAAATGGTTTGCAGATGGCTGTGTGCATCTTTAATAATGACAGAAGAACACAAGTTACAGCTTTAAATGCCAGGGAGCCTTTCTGCATCTTCTCCTTTTCAGAGAGTGATATTTGCAGTTTTCAAGGCAGTGAGGAAAGTGTGTTGGTTTCTTATTACATTTTCCCTGCAGCATAAATTCTGTTGATGTGCTTCCCTAATCATGCTAATTATACTGCCATATGTTGCTCTCATCTTTCTTTTTCTCTCCTAATGGGACATAGATTCTCTCTTTTGAATATGTCATTTGTTTATTACATTTATCAAGGGTTTTAACATTATATGGGACTTTTAATTGCTTTTTTAAACACTCAGCAGATTGAATATTAAAAACAGACATGAAGGTCAATTATAAATAATATTTAAATTGCACATGACATTTTTATTCTCTAATTTCACTGGAAATATCAACTCTGTAGCCATGCTCCTGTACCTACTATTTACTTGAAAACACACATGTCCTTCAGAACTATTCTGGCTGCAGTCACAATTCTGTCTACCCCAAACCACCTTGTGCTTAGCAAAATAGGGGTCTTTCCCAGATGGGAATGCTAAAATAAAGAGGCATTGTGCATCATATTAAACGCTTGACACAAATATGCTGCTGTTAATTTTGGTTGTGAACTACTGAAGTACCCCAAGTGATACAGGTGAGTGTTCATTTCTGACTGGTAAGAAAAATACAATTCTCTCTCAAAGCTGAGCAGCTTTAAAAAACCAGGAAGAATAATTTCAATGAATGAATTTAAGATGGCCTAAAGTTGAGTAGTGTTTTGTGCAGAGATATTAGACCCCCAGAGTACCCTCCACTGCAGAAAACAATCAGTAAACCAGTTGAATACAGAGAAAGCAAGAGACAACCAAATACTATTCAACGACCAAATAATTTCTGTTATAATGACATTATCTCTCCTGGATTTCATGGAAATGCACCATAGGTGAATTCGACCCTTTGGCTCACCGAATTTGGATTGAGATAATCACATCAGGCTTTATATAAATAATAGCAAATACTTTCGTATTACTTGATATTTGTTCATGGTATTATTATACAAGTTCTAAAGTCCTTCTTGCAGGTTCAGGAGTGTTGATTGTAGGTCCTATATGGTGATGAGACAGCTTTATAACTACAGCCTAAATAAAAATGAAACAACATCTATTCTGCTTAACTGGTCCATCTTAAAGTCAAGATTGTATCTACCATTTTGATTTAGACCATCTTATTTAGGTATAATTTTATATTACTTCAGGTTTGTAATAATGACCTATATAGGATGTTGCAAATGCATAAAACTCATCTGCTTTTAAGTTCATATACTACGTAATGTGTCAGAAAATCTTATTTGGTTAAGATATTATCTATCTAAGCTCATCTAATGTAAAGTTCTGTAACAATTCTCCCCACAAAGGCTATAAGCAAAAGACTTGCCCAAATACAAAGGAAGTATTGTGCAGCAAAGTTAAGTCTAAAACAGTTAAAATCCCATTTTTTAATAAGATATTTTTCCCATTTATAACTCCATATTTATGACTTGCTTCTTTATTCTCCAGGGAATACTTAGACATTCACAGTTTGATAAAACTTCTGAATGTTTGCCCTGGGACATGGAAAAGGAGTCTCTGGAGACCCATTAAATACTTAAATGACCAGGAAAGGAAAATTATTCCAGGGAAGCAGCCTAAATATTTGCATAGTGTTTGACAGAGGGCACTCTCTTTTAGTCATAGTATTAAATACCATTTCCACTAATTTTTCCATACCATTTTTCAAGGATGTGATTTTTCAAAACATGATTTAACAGGGATGCACTCCCCTCTCAGACAAACCTGTGTTTGCTAAACTACTGTAAACACAAATCTCTTTAAGCTGCTGTTGAAGAATGTCAGGTATACTTACATTTTCGTCTTTCTCATATAATAACTCTATAGTCTGTTAAAGATATCCATTTTAGACACTTACTACTAGTGATCTTGATTTGTTAATTTCAAAGCATTTGGGTCACACTAGTGGCTTGTTTGACTTCTGGCATCTCTGCAATAGAAGAAAGTCCTTTGTGCATGTGCTGGAAAAAAGGAACTGCAAAGAACGAGGTATAAAGTAGTTGTCTTGATTTATTCCCATCGTGTACCTAGTCAGGATTTGATACATGTTTGAATCAATGGGATTCTTTCCATTTATTTCCAGTCAGAGTAGGAAGGGACCCTGTTTAATCCCAGTTACACTTGTAAGGTAAAATATATGCAGGTATCTTCCCCAGAAATGCCAAAGCAGTGGAAGGGATTCAAAGGGTTTATTTCGGAGGCAAAGACATTAAAACTTACAAACTTCTTGGCACTGCAAGACAGCACCAGGCCTCAGAGGAAAAGGCAAACCTCCCATTCGCTCACAGGCTTTATCATTGTTGGCCCCCCCGACTCTCCCCTGGCCACAGCAGCCCTGTAGCATTTCTGTAAATGTTCTCTCTCTCCTCTCACATATCAGGGAGAGAGGTTGAGAACTTCTCTTGAGGAGAAAGCATTGAAACTGCCTTTGAGAGAGAGCTGCCCTTCAGGTAGAAAGCCTTCCTAAGCAAAAACTCTATCTCCTAGTAACAAAATCTTCCAGAAAAAAAAAGGGCATTTTATACTCACAACACTGAACTTGGATTATAAAATTTACACCAGGTCATGGAGGTGCCACTGAAAGTCGTACTCTTCCTGACGACCTGTTGCTAACAAGAACAGTCTCAGTGGTTCCTTCAATTTCAACCCACAGTAAGATTTTTTTTGTGTGTAAAAAATGTACTATTGGTTGTTTTTCTTCATGCGAGGGCTGTTTTAGCCATAAAGGCTAAGAATTCAAGACTCGCTTAAAGGTACTGTTTTCAAGTGTGCTATGAGGATGTAAGTGATTTTGTATGGCAAACTGATACAGTTACAGAAAAAGTGTGGAGTCCCAAGTGGGTGAAAGGGTTGGAAACAACCATATGTGCTCTGTCACTTCTCAAAGACAATCTTACACAAATGAGCAAACATGCTTCAGGAAAGCAGATTTGTAACTAACACTCAGGAGCTTCACAATCCTTGCCCTCAAATCAAATTTATTTGGGAAGATCATCATAGGAAATATGGACATATATAGCAGAATAAAACACACAGTTGTAGATTGCCGTGTTGAAAATTAAATTAAAAAAATACTGGCTAGATCATAACCTATAACAATATTACATAATATATCTCTCAGATATCTCAAGATAAAAATGCAAAATAAAACTTTTGAGGACTCATCTATAGCTACAGCTCCTCAGTGTGCTCAGTGCAGGGTACATGCCCATAATGCTGTGGGAGAGATGCATATACAAACACCATTTCTTATGGCCCCATGCAGTGTTTTGGTAAAGCAGCCTTACAGGTTTCAGAGATAAACTACCACTCAGGGAGAGGCTCTCTCAAGAAACCTTTCTGCCATCCAAACACAAATTTTACCCCATGTCAAAGCCTTAAGTAACACATGTTGGCTGTATCAGTCTTCTCCACCAAAGAAAATTTCTCCTCATCCAAACAACACACCAAGCTTTGGGTCATGGCCAGGTAAAAACTTGCTAAGAATAAAGGAAAGAAGGAAGAAAGAAAGAGAATCAGCTGGCATTAACAAAAAACTAAGCACTCTTTTCGTATTTCAGTAACATCTACCACAGTGATTAAAACTGAATACAAATGAGCAAATAGGATTATTTATACAAAAATCACACTTCCAAATTAATGAATGAATTCTGCAGGCAATGTCTGGCTCCTGTGAGATTAGGAGTTCCTTCTAGCTTCTGCAGTGGGAGATCTTGGGGCCAGCTATGACAACAGGACACTGAGACCCCCACAGGATGTTTCAAGTTCTCTGCAGAATCTGTTATATTTTCTGCTTGTATTTCTAGGTGAAAATTTTTGCAGAGTAATAAATCACAATGGGATAGAGACACAGGAAAAAAAGTCAAGTTCAACTATGGTAAAAGTCTGGAATTGAAAATACAATATAAAGATTGTTCCAGACTTTCAGTCTCAGTGAATCATAAATTACAATGTTGAAAAACAGTCAGTAACAAACAAATACCTAACTGGCCTAGTTTTTAAAGATAGCAGTCATCTCTTGTTCTTTTCAAATTTGATGGGAACTGTAGATGCTCAACTTATCTGAAACAAGGTCCCAAGTTCTCCAATCTTAATGAAAAAGATTTTCCACTGCCACGGCATATGGCAACTTACAATTAGAAATGTCTGATATGACCATTATGTTCCTTCTCTTGTCATAAGGACAATAAGAAGCCATAAGATGGTTTACATTTTATTACAAAGGAAAAAAAAAGAGTCCAACATTCCGAAAAAGGATGCAAAGGTGCACAGAGTGGTCCAGGCTACTAATAATTTGCTCAAACACTAGCAGAGAATATATAAATTCTTAACTCTTAGCAAAAAATATTGATTGCATTATAACATATATGATACAATTTCATTTGTTAACATTTCATTCATTAACTTCACTGTACAGAAATTTGTCCATGCTAAATACAAGCCCTGGACCAGATACACAAAACAATTTAAATGCATTTTTTACATCCTATATGCACAAACATTTCTTAAGTTAAGACTATGCATACTACTTATGCATAGCACGCATATGGCTTACATATTCAATGACAGGAATCCCACCTTTTGGCATGCTCTTATCCCACGGCTCAGAGTTTACACTGTTCCCAGCTCAGTTTTGATTGCTCCGCTGTCAGAAAAGAGACAGTCAACAGGTATGAACATGTAAGGGTCCCTCAGTCCAGGGTGATTATTTTACAACTCCTTCTTCAATTGGGACAAAGCGTGCCCTTTTTGAAGTTGAGCCTGATGCCTGTTGAGCTCTACTCAGACCCCTGAAACAGCAGATGAATGACACGTAGATCTCAATCACTCTCTGCCCAGAGAGGAGTGCCACTGCCCCATGAGTCCTCTTCAGAGCAGACCATGGCTGATTATAAAGACTTTTTGGTCAGTGAGATAATAACCACAGGGTTCAAAAATGAGAGCTGGGAGAGCAGCAACCTGAGCCACCCAAGAGCCTACAACTTGAAGGGGAGCCTGGAAGTTTCCTGGCAGGTTCCAGCAGAGGGAAATGAGGTTGGCTGCAGCCACACAGGACACCCAGACAAGTCTGGAGGAGTCATGTGCAGCTTGAGGGAAGTGGAGATGAAAATGGAGTTTCTTTCTGGGCTCCTTCTGAGGCTTCTTGCAAAGGTGACTGCCCATGTGCTCTGTTTTTGCCACCCCTCAGAAAGAAACTGGCAAAGATTTTGCAGGATGCATGTTGTTGACTTTGCATGTGAGATAAATCATAATATAAGGCCTCAGTGTCACCTTCCAATTCTGTCTGAGAGGCAACACATTATTTTGCTGAAGTGAAGTAATTTTCATGTATTCCTGTTGCTGTCTCTTCTACCCTATAAAACAATAAGCACCAGCTTCATGGTAGGGCTGACAACATTGCTGATGTCTTCCAAAATACTCAGATATTTCAAATACTTCTCTGCTCAACACCAGTTCTGTCCATATGGCAGCCACCACAGTGGAGAAAAATCATCATCTATGCAGGCTGGTCAGTGTAACTCTGCAACTTTTCTGTACAGTCTACACACATTTATTTCCAGATATTTTAAGGAAACTAACAAGTAAGACTTTTATGTTGCATGCAGTATGATTGCATGAACAAGTATTTAGAAACACATTTCATTTTGACTTTCCATTTTCACTGGATGCCAGCAGCAGTGACATGTAACAGCAATCCCAGGCAGATGATAAATGTCGCGTTTTCACATATCTCATGGTTAACTGGAAATGTTTGATGCCAGTGATGCAACAAAGCAAGGTCCAACTTTGGCTGAAAAAATTATTTTGGCTAATTTAAGAAAGCAGAATAGAAGAGGAAATAGCAACAATAAATACAACCGAAATCTTGCAAGTTGTTAAGTGCCTTGAGTTACCAGCTCAGTTTTACATTTTACACTTTTGAACATTTTGTCCATTCACTTTCCACAGAAACAGGATGATCCAAGAACAAGTTGACAGATAACGGCCTCTGAGAGCACGAGGTAGGAACAGCTAGAGTGCTTCTTTTCTCCTGCAAGAGAGGTTAAATGAAAATTCATAAACAATAAATTTTTGATACTACAATTTCAGTATTTCATAGGATGGTTTATTGCATGATCATTCTGTCTGACATTAAGGATTGAGAGATGTAAAAGTACAGTTTTTCCCTTTTTTATATTGAATGGTTTTATACCTCATATAAAGTGGGGTATACTGTGTCCCCATTTCAAAATTTTCTAATAAAACCACAACTGAGATGGAACAAAGAGGTTAATAATAGCACTAAACAAGCCTTTATGGTGGAAAACTCCCCCCATTATAAGAAAGAAATGACCAAATTACCTGTCCTGCCTGAAATGTCAGAAGCTTTTAAGAAATAGAAAATCTAGTTTTGTATCAGTGCTTCTTTCTGCTCTGTGGCTTTTACCATATCTTCTGGCTTCTTACAGTGTTTAGGTTCACCTGGAAGATAAACAAATGTGACTGGAAACCTGAGTGAGGAAGTTAACCAAGAGAATCTGCACAGCTGTAGACAGACAGAATCTTGTTCTTTAAGACTTTTTTAAGGTTAAAATGAGGTTTCAATCACTGCTTTCTTTAATTGTTTTCTCACCACAGTAAGCATCAGATTGAATCAACTAATCATGGTTTATCTACGAGGCAAAAGACAGAACGAAATCAATAGATCACATCATGAAAAAAACATGAGTGTTAATAAAGTGGGTTTGGTTTTGGTTTATTTTTTTCTTCTGCCTTACTGAAAGTCAAAATTCACCCTCTGTAGAGAAGTGCTGTTTAAATCCTCTTTTAATGTAGACTTTCAAATCAGAGTAAGCTGAGATAATGAAAGATGCAGTGTCAAGTTCTAAGAATTCAATTAATTCAATCAAATTGGAGGAATGACACAGACCAACACAAGCAGTTTTCAAACACAAGTGATACAACATGAATTTCGAACCAACAATCATAATATTAAGCTGTTGCTTAAACTATTCCTTCAGTAACTTTGAATGAACACAGCTGAGGAAATTACACACTGAGATGGTAGGCATGGGGACAGTGTAGCAAACTTACAGTGTTATTTACTATAATTAATTACTATACTACATATAGTAATTTCTCAATTTTATCCAGTTAATCCAAGTGATCCCACAAGAGAATAGGAACATTGAACTGAAAATGTGAAAAAGGAAGAGCATAGAAGCCTCAAAACTTGAAAAGATGAACTGGGAGAAGCATAAAATTTATAAAAATAAAAATAGAGAGGGGAATATTTTTGAAAGCCAGAAAACAAAGGTACAAGTAGCCAAAAAGAAAGTAGGTGATGCGTGATCTGAAAGGGAAATTGAAAGCTGATGGCGAGTTGAAGAAGAGGCTGAGAGTTTAGAAAAGAGAATGAGAAGAGAGGAAACTCAAGAGAACAAGAATGAGGAAAGAAAAAAATTAATACCTATGTATCTACCATGGCTTCACTGTAAACAAGTAAGAATTGCTACTGATTTTACCCTTGTTTCATTGCCTTGAATGGTGGCAGAGTTGGTGCTGTCCACACTGTAATGCAGCCACCAGCAGATGGGCCATATCCCCCCAGGCAGCATCCTACACCATCCCCCTTATTCTACATAAATTTAGTGTAGGTGAAATACAGACTACCAATATTCCAAAGACTTTTAAAAGTCTCAAAATTAGACTAACATGAATTAGAACCAGATCTTTCATCCTGTGGCTGTTTTTGAAGGGATTTACTAAAACTTTATTATCATTATCCATAAAAACAAAAAAGGGGGGGAGGAAGTATGAAAGTAAAATCTATTGATCTAAATATTTAAATTTTATACTTAATGTAGAGTAGTTTTCGGAGTGGGATAGAAGTGGTTTGAGGAGGCCTTTAAAACAAAATCTTTGTACATTTAGATTTCATAAAACTTAATATAAACTCAAGATATACAGCTTTCTTCCTCTTAGTTCATCAGGTTTTTTGTGTGATAAAATCTGCCCTTTAAATGGTTGCTTATGGCTGTTATCTTATAAACCCCATCCTTTTCATAAACACATTTGCTTTTTTAATCTAACCTTCCCTCCATCCTTATCCCATGCATGAACACAGATGCCTTCCCTCAGTACCAGGATCCTATTGTCCCGTTGAGCCATGCACTGTGCCCAAGGAATGCTCACTTATCAAGGCAGCACAGCACTCTGTGCCCGCTCTGCACAGCTGCAAAGGGTTCCCCCCTCGGCTGAGCCCCACGGAGCCACTGCGGCACTGAATGGTCAGTAAGCTTTTGCGTGGCATGGATGATGAGCTGATGCCACCTGCATTCCCATAAATCAAACTGGCATGTTGTTGGTGTGGATCTGTCCACTGCTATTTAACCTGGTTACTCTCCAGAGGCTCTCAGTTACTGCCTGCTGATGACGTTGAATGTTTCACACACCTGATGTGACTGGGCAGTCCTCTGCTGTCATACAGAGCGAAATTACTGGTAATCTGTTTTCTCACAGATTTATTATCTCCCTTGCATTTTGATATTAAGGATTAGTGTGGCTATCACTACAGGTGAGAAGTTAAAAGTGTGCCAATTAGCATTTATAAATCATTGAAATGTGGAGTCATTTAATTAAACATAAGCAGTTTTTAAAATTAATGTTCTAATTAATAAATCACTCAAGAGAAAAAGAAAATTATCTCTTAAACCCCACCTTATAATAGTTTCACTTAATCTTGTACCATTCAATTAAATGAAAATGGGATGATGGAAAGGACAAAGGTATTGTGGAGAAAAACAACATTCAGTCACAACTGCAGTGCTTCTTACAGTGATCCTCCAGTTCTCCCTTTGCACTGACCAGGACCCAGGGCAGAGCTATTCCTGTTACTAATTACTACTAATCTACAAGACTACACCTTAAAAGAGATGTGATACGAGGCGAGTAAAACAGTCCCTTTTTAATTTTTTTAAATGGGGAATGCCCTAATTATACATATCCAAACATTCATTGACAGTGCCCAAGAACGCAGACACATCATTCTCCCATGTTCCCCATCTCTGTTATAATTGAATCACTTACTCACAAAAAACTTAACTGAATTTTCTGTGTTTTATAAAAGACAGAGCAATGACAGCTAAAATATGACATTTCGACATGAATAACCATGTTTCTTTTCCTCTTCCTTCCTATCTCATTCTCCCACTCCCAGCACCCACAGGTGCTCACTTCCCCACCCCAGGAGTCAGCAAGTGCTCTGGACATCACTTTAGCCTTGTACCCCCCCATCCGCAGTACAGAAAGTACACAGGTAGAAGAGTCTAGCATGGAGAGTGCCAATAATGTCCTGATAGATGTACAGTGTCTCTTAGAATACTCAAATAACTCTAATTCGTGAAACAGATTAAAAATGTAAGGTCATATGTATGCTGCCTTCTGCTTGTTTGAAGTGACATTCCATTGAAAATGTCTGACCTGTCTAGATCCACTGGCCACCAGCAAGAGTGAAAAGTGGGGATGCTACCCATGCTATATGTCCATTCTGCCCTGAGTGCTACTGCATCATGCACAACACACTCACCCTTGACCATCCCAAACATAGCTTATACTGAAAAAAGGAGGGGCGAGTGAGAAAACACAGGCTGCTCTGCTGTTTGAGGCTATGAGGCTTCTACATACACTGCAGTAACAAAACTTCTTCAATAATACTAAGTACCTACATTTAGACAACCACAATGCTTAATGGCTTCCCTCCACTTAGAATGATATTCAAGCATTTTACCACTGTGAAAGAGAAATTGAAACATTTTAGCCTGACTTTTCCCTTTGGTATGGAATATTGTCAACTCTTCCAGTACTAACTGCCCGCATAGACTTTCTTTTCTGTTGTCTCTTACATGATGGCACAGTTTCTGCAGCTGCTGAAATCCAATATTAATTTAATACTTTCTCAAAGAGCCAGGACCTGGGTCTCACCATGAGTTTGTAGAAAGTCTGGCTGCTTCAGGCCAGTGTCAGTAATGCAACTCACATCAGCATTGTGATGCATTACAGCTGCTCTGTTTTGCTGTGTAACCTATATTTGTAGTGTTCTTTCAGTATATTTTGCATCACTCTGACAAAACAGAAATCCCATGGTATGAGCAGTAGCCTCTACTTTTTACACATTTTCACCAGCAGGAAAGCTTTACAAGCACAGTTTGTAAAGGACTTGACATAGATGATTAGTTTCAGTGAAGAAACCTGCATTTCTATACTAAAACTTTCTGTGGCAATCAGCAGCAATGCGTGCTGCCAAACCTACAAGATGTGCAGATGTAAGTTGGGGGATCCCAGTAAGGGAGCATTGGCTCATCACTCAGCCTCTGTAGTTGCCTAAAGAATAAAAAAGAATGCTTCTTTTACGATGTGATTAATCCTGATGCAGTTATGTCTCCTGCTATACGTCCCTGTTTACTGCTGAGCAATGTCCTCTGTGTATGTGCCCTGGCTTTTAGTTCAGGACCTTATCAATACTATTTTTCTTCACAAAATAGTTAAATTAAACTCTTATTTCTGTTTCATTATTAATCTGAACTCTTTTTGAATATTGCCATCTCTAGTGAATGAACATCCTTGGATTAGTGTAATTTATGTTAATAAATCTTTTTCACTATCTGCAAGAAAAAAAGATTCCAAATTATAGTTACCTTTGGAAATATACTATTAAAAATTTAATTGCTTCTTATCCTTTTCATAAATTTTGCAGTTTGAAGTTTTAAAATACAAGGCATTCTCTAGAAAATTACCCTCATTAAAAAACAAATGAAATTAGCATGTTCTCAGATAAGAAGTCTCTGTTCTCATTGGAGAGGTGGAATGTAAAGATTGACAAGGTAACAGAGTGAACTAATTGCATGCTGAGTTGTATCTGATCTCTCAAATAGCATTTTTGTTGGTCAGCCATCTAAAGACCCACAAGGACAGCTATACCACCACTGCCTTCTGCACAGTCTGCAGTTTTCCCAACTGTGTTCCTCATCCAGGAGATGAAGAACTTTCCTAAGGCACTTTAATTTCAATTTGGGCTTTAATACAAAAACTAGTGTAAAAAATACTTGTCAAAAGATTAAAATGTCAGTTATTAGACAGCTTCAAATGCTGTGAAAATAATTTTAGTGTAAATATTTTGATATAGGACCCTAAATTAACCATCTGTTATTTCTGATGGAAAAGAACTGCCAACAATAAAAGCATGGAGCCCTGGAATACAGAACTCTAGAATAAGTGGGTGTTCTCCATAAAAAGCGTTTATGAGAAACATACCAAGTCATATACTCATGTCTAAGCTAAGCCTTACAAGCACTTCAGTGTTGCTGCTCAGACAATGCCATACTTCTGGCACAATATTGCAAGGCTTACTGTCATAAAAGCATTAATGAGATTAGCATTTTAATGAAAAGTCAGGAATAGAAGTGTCTTTATATGTCTTGTCTTATAAACCTGATATCTCAAAGCTTATTCTAACTATAAGCAAACTCAGAAAATAAAATGAAAATGCACAGTGTCTTTCTCTTCCTTTGATAACATCTATTCCTATTGCTTGGGCATCTTTTTCTTGATACTGTATTGCAATTACCAGATACTAAACATAGTCATCTTGCGATAATATACTTACACACTAAAAACATATTCTGACATTTTAGGGATTTTCTGGCTGCTCCACTTGTCCTGCAGCTACAGTCAGGAGACTGATCCTCCTGATTAAGAGAATGACACAGTCCCATGACTACTACAGTTAGCAAATTCCATCTACCTTAACTCTAAGATTCACATTTAGTACAAAGGATGTGGTTTACAACATAGCAATCATATTAGGTGCCTAAACTAAGGGGAGTATATTTTAATAACATAATTACCTATTCAAAGAGAGAATGTTTGGATAGCTCTATTTTGAAAGTTTTACCTTATTCTCCAGTAGCAAAGGGCTATTTAATTGCAAATATGCATCTTTAAATTACTCCAAAATCATTCTTCCGGTTCAACTAAAGTATGTTATGTAAAAACTTTTCCAGTGGATACTAAACAGCTGATATCAAGAAGTTGATATTTGTTTATATCAAACAGCTTCTTGATGGTTTTAGGACGCTCATACTTTTACACATGCCCAAAGAAACTGTCTTATGCTGGTGGTTTGTACAACACCTTATTTCAATATTTTACATTACTGTTGATGTTTGACAGGGAGATACCAGACACTGCTGCAGCTTCGCCCTGGGCAGCTTCATTAGACTGGCTGGTGCTGTGTGATGAAGCATTACCATTCAGTGGGTCTGTATTCTGTGTTTCTTGCTGGGCATCGGTGAGATCTTTCTGGTTCGGATCAGAGTTAGTGCATTTTTCTGAGTTGGATTCATCACTCAGAGAAGTGTCGAAAGAGACTACTTGTAGGACGATGGATCTGGGAGGACAGGTTGTACCATCACTTCCCTGACTACTCTCATTTTGTATCCTTGTTGTCTCTTCCTGTAACTGTGCATCTGTGGAATTTCTGCTTTGGTCTTTTTCCTGTTCATCAACATTTTTCACAAGTTCTTCTACAAAGAGGGAACAAAATAGGTGAATTAGATAAGAAGGATATGCCACAGTTTTTTGATTTCAGAGTAGTGACAGATAGAGCTGCACATGGGAACACTGTGAACATGAGGGCATGCCCACTGCTGTGTTTAATACGGCTCAGATTCTGCTTCTGCTTGCACTACTGCAACTGAACCATAGCTGTCCTCTTTCTGGTTTGATGTACTTCTATTTTTGGCCATAATACAGAGTAAGGAGCATCATCAGACACACGGTAACCTGAAGGATGGAAGCAGGAGGACCCCATGCTGCAGGCATGTCCCCCTGCAGGAGTGTTTACCACTACAGGACTAGGAAGTGTAGAGCTCATCAGTTCTGCAAGAGAGAGAGGGCATGGAGGGGAGCACCTTGGTCAGGATGCACATTCATCAGAATTGAAGGGAAGCCCTGAAGGAAATGGGCCTGTCAGCCTGGAAAAGTCCAAAGCATCAGCTGATACAGAGTTTCAGCTGGAACAAGTTATAGGGGTTACATGTGCTATCCAGTACTGCTACCATTATGCCCAATGGGGGAAATTGCACTTCAGGGGACAGCAGCAACCCAAAAAAATAATGTTTGTGGAAGGCTCTACTCCTTGCTGTATTGCAGAGATTTGGAGAACAGAAAAATGAAATGGCCCAGAGTAAAAGGAGACAGAACAGAATAGAACAGCACAGGGAGATAGTACAAGGAGTAACTAAAAGATGAAAAAAACCCAGAGAATGGAAAACTTGTGATGGCAGTTGAAGAGTCCAACAAAAAAAAAAATGTACCATCTTCATGGAGGGCCTATTTCTCTTGCTATTATAACCTGTATTTCATAAATTTAGATTTTAAAATCAGTATACTCCTATAGAATATACCAAACACTATCAATTTAAAAAATGAAAGCAATTGCAGTTTGAACAACACTTGCACAAAGCAGCTGCATGATATTGCATAAAATTTCTAACTTGGATGTGCACACTGTATTAAGAAAGGAAATCAAGCATTGGGATACTTATTGAGTTCAACTGGCAGCTCCCAGAAACTCTGATTTTGAGTGACCAGTCCAAATCCAGACCAGAAGTGATTGCACATGACAACTCAAAGATAGCCCAAACTGTAAGCATATTTTTACCACATTAGTATTTGGCACCACCTCACTTTTCTGAATCCAGAGAAAAGTTCCCCCTGAATTCAGAGAAAAGTTCTGTGAAACAGGATGGAAAGGAACACCTCCAAACCTGATCTGATGCACAGAAGCACGGAATAGCTAAATAATTTCTTTCTTTTGTCAGTTATACTTTCTAGCATATTTTTTAAAAAAATCAAGAACTTTAAAATTTGAGCAATTTCTAATTTGTTAAGCCATTTTCCCCCAACTTTAGAGACCTGCTTGTTTTGGATTTCAAATCCTCTAAAACTTGGACAGGTACACTTTTTTCTATAGATTTCAATGCAGTTCTTACAAAGAAGAGGTTGGGCTAAACCCACTAAGAAATATGCACTGATAAGTTATACTAGTAGTGTAAGAGAAATGGAGCTGGCATAATGTTTGATCCCCACTGCTGCACAGTAAGAATTGTAATAAATACCATGGTAGCATCTACTTCCAGACAGCTACTAATGGCCAGGACCCTCCGAGAGCAACGGCAAGGCACTGGGCTGCTGAGAAGAGCAAGCTCCTCTTTCCCTATGGGCACATGTTGTCATGGCCAGCCAGAAATGGAAATGGGGTATATGAAGTGAACAAGGTAACCTGGCATTTACAACATTGCCAGTATTCAGTAAGAGTAAATATATGAATATGGTACATAGGATTAAAAAACCATCCATCTTGGCCCTAAGAAAAATTCCTCTATTTTTTTAATTTTTTGGGGGGGGAGGAAGGGAAGGGGGGCCTGGGTCAGTTAGGCACTAAACAGCTTAGGGATTATCATATCCATTCAGATGAAGGCAGGCAGAAGTGTATTGTTCAGTGCAGTGAACTCAGGGTATGTATTACTGTTGTTTTCTCTGTTTTAACTCAGTAACTAAGTGCCAGAAGCCAGGAATGTTTACATATATTCAACTGTTTGGTAATGTTTTCTTTACAAGAATCCAAGCAAATTCAGAAAAAATTGTGTCAATTGGCTTCTCCTAACTTATCTGTTAGGGGTGACTCCATCTTATTCCTCTCTTCTGTATTTCTGTGCCATTTCTGAACTCCAGCCTTAAATCACAGTCTTTTATGAGAAGGAACAATGGCATTTGACACATAAACATGATAGAAGTGGTGCAGTTCTTCCCTTGTGTTTAGGCTGGGCTGTTGGCAAAATAATTGTTATGCATTGCTTTGTTTGGAAAACTGGCAGCACTCGTAAGGCAACAGCCAAACTTCAGAATAGTTGAAAAATGCTGGTATTCTAGCACTGTGCTGTAGGGCTCTGTGGTCTCCAAAGTGAGAGTGCTCTGCTGCTGCAGAAGCTCTGGAGAGTCTGCATTATCAGCTATAACACTGCTTGCCACCAGCTCTGCTCTGTTACCGCCTGTGTCTGCAGCAACACTTTCAGGACATGGTCTAAGGGGTGAGGAAGCTTTTCTACATTTTTGAACTTTCTCTTCTGTCCATCATCTTTCTTTTCCTCATCTTTCTGTGAGGAAATAGAGCATTCAACTACTATCACCTGCACAGTACAGGGTTTATAAATCACTTTTCTATTTACAGCAGCTGCATCACTTGAGCATGTACTGACTTAACAAGAGTGGAGAGGAAGAACAAAAGCCATGTGTAATTAGGACATCTCGAACCAGCAGTGACTGCTGCAGCACTAAACTCCAGTAAAACAAGTATCTGCTGAATCACATTGCTATTTTCATTGGCTGTGTTTAAAAATAAGCTACCATAACTTACCCTTACAGAAAGACATAATGACATGGAAGTTTTAACAATTAGAAAACTACAAATTAATGAGGAAAGTTGTTCATCTTCACTAAGAATTAAATTATTTGAGGACTCTGTGAAAGAAGAATGCTGCTGGATATTACGGACTCTCTGTGTATATTACCCCAAACTTTGATTTCTAGTTTTGTCTGCCTTCTTTTTTCCTGTAAAAAAAAATTCCAGGAAGCAGTGACAAACAACCAAAACCAGGACAACATGGGAAGGAACTGCAACATTCAAAAAGACATGTTCGCACATCAGCCATTTTAAAGAGAAGGAGAAGACACCAGCACAAAGCATAAAAATTCTGCAGAAAATGAGAGGACTTATCCTGTTGCCTCTGGAATTTCCAAGTAAGTTTAAAGACATGTCCGAGAGTTCCCAAACAACTGTGGTTTTTCCCAACTAATCTGCCATTTTCAAACTCAATAAAATACAGCTTTATTTAGACACTGATTCCTTCTCCTTTCAACTCCCCCCACAAGTTTCATCACAGATATAGGAGTATATAAAACCAGTGCAAACCATGTAATCCAGTGGCACTTAATGTTATAGCATTATGTCATATAGAAAAAGTAGCAAAGACTTAATTAGCTATCAAAACTTTTCACTAAAGGATTTGATTAAAAATAATTTGTGAGTTTATGGTTTCCTAAGGTTGCTACCTCTGCTTTATACTTCTCTTTTGCAGTTTAGCTGTAAGCACAGGGGCTTGAATGCTGGAACTTTCAGTACAGGGAATGGAAGGGACATGCAGAAGGGACATGGATTGTCATGTGCAGAGGTGGGCCAGCTCTCCATTGTGTACTCCAGGGAGATATAAAACAGGTTCCATTATTAGGTCAGTTATCATTCTTTAGTCTGCAATTTACCAGATATTGTCAATCCTGAATGTTTCTTCCTACTCTTAGCTCAGCCTGTTCATTGCACATACTCAGACAATGCTCCTTTTCTCACTGATCTTAACACATTTCTGAATTAGCTCAAAAACTGCTTATGACCTAAGCATTTTAGCGCTGTAATTAAAATCACTGTCACTGATAGTAGCCTCCTGAATTGATTTTTCTCCAACAGATTCAAACAGTCCATTAGGGTAGATTTCATGTGCCAAACTGTCAGTCAGTTTCTGTGACTGTCACACACATCCTCCCACTGCCCACCCTTCCTAGCGACTGCTAAATCACATTAACATGCTATCAGATCATCACTCTCGGATTTTCACATTTCAGCAGCTGCTGCTCTCTTCCTATTAGTGAGTCTGCAGAGAAAATCTTTCAGACAAAATGGAACTGAACCCCGTGGTTATTGTGACTGGAAGTATGCAGGACTGAAAGTGCCCGAGGGGGGCCTGCAGGTACTATGCAGAGGTCTTTCAGAGGAGACATTTGTTATTCAAAATTGCTGCCCATGGGTGAAAAAAAAGCTGATCTCTACTCCAAAGATGCAATAGTTGTCATTTTTTCATATTTTTGCTATCAAAATGAGGCAGAGGATAGTGTGAGAGACTCGTTCAACCTCATATTTCTCATCCCACCTGGATGAGGTCAGTCATCCCAGGCACACATTTTCAAGCCTTGCAGCCCAGTGCACTGCCAAAGGGTGTTGAGGACGTTTGTCACTGATTACTTTCCACACAAATAATGCAACCTTTGGTCAGGTCCTGTAATACTTAATTCTTTAGAAGAGTCACATAAGTATAAAATGAGAACAAGTAACACTGTTGTTATATTATCCTGAAGATGAATGACACACTTCAATGATGGGCCCATTTGACTGGCAGCTGAACACTTGGTGTGCATGCTGCATTCCCTCATGTTATTATATGATCTCAGGGGAGTGTCCTAAGCTGCCTGTGTCTCTTTCTGTTCACTGTAAACTGAAAATAATTATACTTATTTAATCCCTGTAACTATTTACAATGATATCTACTGAAGAGATGGTAAGCATGATTACTAGTCCATACACTTACAATCTGTTAAGAGTACCTGAGCTTGCTTTATTAGTAAACTTTTGGAACACTTTTATAGAACAATCTAAGCATGAAGAAACAAAAATTGTAAGCATAGGGAATAAACACTGTATTTTTAAAATATTAAATAATTGTGTTACAATCTCTCTGTGTTCTAAGAACTGCACCATAAAGGATCTTACATGATAGTTAAATCTTTCCCCACGAGTTTTGCGTTTCTTATAGCTTTCTCAGTAGGCCTATAACTTTCAGACCTTAAAATCTACTTATCAAACATCTTCTCTAATGAAAGAACCTCTCAGATTCATCTGAGCAAATTTACTGTCTATTTGCTACAACTACCATAATTGCAAACAGCAGCACCCATCAACAGTATGTGATGAAAAAAGTGCAAGATGGAACAATATCTTTATCACTGTGCTGAGTTGAACAAAGACAGATTATCTGGTGATTGGGGTTTGGAATATTAATTAAACATCAAGGCTTTCAAATTAGAATCCAAATGTTTGATCATTATGGTAATTCCCTGTTAACAGCATTCCCTGAAAGGCCTGAGAAACATTCCTCTAATTCTCCAGTGGTGAAAGGTTGAAGACCCTTAGGCTATAGAGCACTGAGCTCCTCTGCATCAATTATACAAGACATGGCCCTTTTAGCAAAGTGGAGCCATCCTATTTATTGAGCCTTCTGTTAAGGAAGCTTTCAAATAGCTGTCTAGGTAGATAAATGCTTTCCTTACTAAAACAGGACTTCCCAAAAACAAAGCATGCTGTTCCTTGCACAAGCTGCTTACTCTGAATCAACACTCAACAGCAACTGTCTTTTCAGGGAGAGGTAGCACCACCATCTCCTGGAAAGCTGCCCTGTCAACAACACTGTCAGTGGGGATTGGTCTTCTGCTCTGGATTGTCTGGGCATAAGAGTCAGATCATCTTCTCCAGCCCTTGCTAAAGAAGCCTTTGCTCCAGTTGAACCACCTCCCAAACAGTGCTACACGAGTAGCCTTATCCCGAAAATGTGAGAAGCTGGAATGAGTTCAGGTCATCCTCAGGAAATTATATGGATTGTTGCTAGTTTCCTTTCTATATTCCTTGTGCATCTCTAGTACCACATCTTATAGAGCCAACTTTTCCTGAGCCTCTGAGCTAATCTGGGAACAATATCTAGTGTTTGCAGAGCCCATCGACAAGAATGCAGATGGTTCTTCTAACAGCACAACTTCTGTTTGTCACAGTCAGTTCAGGAAGTGTGTTTGAAGATCTACACTAACAGCCAGCCTGCTTACTATCACAGCACACTATTCTAGTACATGTGACCTCCTCAGTGTGCTCAGCAATTTGTGATTTGTCATAGATTATCTAGCTAGGAACAACAACAGCAATAACAATACTCTTTTCACTCTGGCTTATCCCTGGCATCTCTTCTTCAGTATGTGCTCCTACTAACCTATGAATAAAGCACAACTCCATACATATGCCCAGAGCAACCTAAAGACTTTTCATAAAGTAATAGAGTCAGAGAAGGTAAAATGAGATCCAGAAAGGATGAGTCTAATCATCTGAAGTTCAAGGTCTCAGGTTATTCACTTACAAGTTTAGTCTAACTTGATTGTAATCTGAAAAGAATTTCAAGTGGCAAAGCGATATATTGCCATATTTTTTATTCTTTGCTAGATGTTCATTTTGCACAGTCTGATTAAGGATTTTCAGACTTTGCAGGTTACAGCTTCAGAGCAGATATACTGGACGAGCTAGGGAAGATTCCCTCTCCCATTATTGACAAGAACTTGTGTGCAACCTCAGATAATGCTCTATAGATGGTTGCATTCACCTAGAGAAAAACTCCTTTCCAGCAGTCCTTAAGGCCCACATATGGACTACAGACCCAGATGTTCCATTCCAAATGAATGAAAAATGTAATAACTTTCACAAAACATATATATTCCCCCCCAACTTTTATGAAAAAAACCCCCACTATCTGTTTACTAACAAAATATAAATGTGTACTCAAAAGCATTTGCATTATTTGCAAGGTTCTTCTTAGAGTCTAACCAGGCACCCTGGAAGTTTCTATGTTGCGCTTCAGTCAACTGCAGATGTTGCTGCAAGTAATCTCTTTATGGGAGCAGATTTCTATTAATCTCTTCCTTATACAGAGGTTAAAAAGAACAGATTCAGCCACAATCACACAGAGACAATACTGTTCATCAGGCTCTGACCTCAACACCAGCTATTTTCATTTACCCACTAGCTTTCCTAATGTACATTTTATTGTAATTCCATAATTCTTTTCAGGAAATACTTAGACATACTTCATTAGTCAATTTGATGGAAGGAAAGAAGTTTAGGACAACCACAATCTCAACAAAGTCCATGGAGTCTTGAACATTAACATCCTTGTTTTTCACAGTAGAAATCATGCCCAGAGTTTCAGGATTTTGCTTGGCCTCACATTAATATTGACTGCATAGAGAAACAATCTTACCCAGAAGAATTCTTAAGTCTCTTGCTGTGAGAAGCTTTGTGTTTTCAACGGCTGTCAAAAGCCCAGTAAAACTGGGCTAAATATATTAGTAATTTATAGAGCACTACAAGGCACTAGGAATGAAGGAGAAACAACAGTGCTCATTGATAGCACTGTACACCTCCAAAACAATACACCAAAAAGCTGATGTACCAGAATCAATCTGGTTAGTTACGTGTAACTGGAAATGGTAAACTTCCAGATAACAAGTTCTTCATTCTTCCATATTGAAGGACCTTGCTTGTCACTAGCTCAGGGCTCCTTGATTTCTGCAGGCTATAGCTAAGTGGCCTTGGACACTCTGATGGTCTGCTGTTATTATTGATCACTGTAAATTAGCAGCTTTCTCCTTTCGACCAGTCAGTATTTGGGCAAGTAGTTGGGCAAGACCAAAGGAGACAATTGGTTTTATGAAGCTACTCATGAAGAAGGGGCAATATTGGTCAAGTCTTCTCCTCAGCTGCGTCTTCTATCTAACTCTCAAGTCTTTGTCACAATAGATATATGGAAGTTTGTTCTTAATATTCTCCTAATGAGAATATTCATTTGCAATTTAGCACTAAATCAGATTTTGTCACTGTTCAGCACTGTTTTTCTGCCTTGTCTGGCACCTCTGAGAAAAAAACATGTTGATTGGGATGATGGGATGAAAAACAAGGTTGGCACTGGGTTTCAGGATATCATTCCCAGCCGTCAGTATAAGGTCATGTACAGCAAGACCAGTCTCAGCAGTGAAATGTTATGCTGAAATATTCCAGGTACTTACTCAGAAACAACATAGACTGTGGACAACATATTCCCAAATGGCATTCACTTAACCTGGATCAAAGCTATAAATTCTGTTCAACAATTATCACAAAACATTTCACTTAGATAACTGTAACTCCAGAAAATTTTCAGGTATGGCTTATGAACTAAGATGCTTGATGCAGGTTTGGCTTTATTAACTGTCTACTGGCAAATGAAGAGTCCCTTTTTGCCTTGTTTGGGCATAATACATGCAGTGATTGCTCAAATCTTTAGATCCACTGGGTCATTTAAATAATTGCCTACAGCATAGTCCAAAGAAGCCTGCAATACTGAATTTTGTTCCATACATTGGGGAACAAATAGCATTTCTAATAGCAAAGTACAACTTTCACATTTCTAAAGAAATGTGGTGGCACACACTACTTTGAATTGTTGATTTTGGCATTTAAAGCAGATGTCAGTATCAGTTACAATTAAATGTGCAAGAATGCACATTTATAAACCAAATCTCTAAAGATAAGCTGAGCAGCACAAAGCCTTATTGTACAGGTTATAGATTTACTCTCATACTCTAACCACCTACATCTCCTGAGAGAGCAAAACAAGGCCATCTAAACAATCATTAAGACATAAAATATATGAATACAAGACAACTATGTATTTTTACGGGTTAAATGAAATTAAAAAATGCAAGTAGGTGAGATCTTAGGGAGTAACCTATAAAAACATTTCACCTTAATATATCATACCTTCTGCTGCTAATTCTTTCCATCTTTCTTTGTTTGCTTGAATGATCTTCATCAAGTTGTCCTTAAAGCTCCTTAGGTCTACAGTTGCTAGAGAATTTTCTGCGTGAGTCCCTCCATCACCTGTGCTTTTAAAACCAGGTCGTCTTTGTGCTTCAGCATTGCTTACTACTCCCAAACTATTTTGACTGTACAAGGGAAAAAACCCAAATTATGAACACAGTCAGGCAATTTTAATAATATACAAACAGATAATCTGAATCAAGTTGCTTAGGAACTAACTTGAAATAATAGTTTTAACTAAAGAGTGCCTAAGACACAAGATGTCTTACCAACATTTACAAATAGTTTTCCATTAAGCAGGAAATAGTTTCAGTGAGAACTTCCCAAGAAGAGCTAACTGTAATTTCTGTGTGCTCCAGAGATGTTGAATGGGATAGAATGGAAAGAGTAGACTATAATCCTAACGTTTTCCAGGCACCACTGCACCACTCATGGTGTCCACTCAGTAGTGTTTGTGCAACTGTCCTGACTCAACTTTTCTGTATCATGCTATAGGCTCTCCATTCTCTTCGTAAGTGTGGCTCTTGATTCCATACTAATTAAAAGTCCCTTTAACCTCCACTTCACACAAGGAAGTTTTACTGGATGATAAGTCTTTGTTGATCTACGACTCAGTCATGAACATCAACCAAAAGTGAAGCACAGAGCTGCTAATCATTTGCAGCTGCTAATGCCTCATTTGTGAAGAAGTATGTAAGCAAATTTATTATCAATAATACCTTTGTTTAACACTGCTTCCCAAAAGACTAAAAACACTGTCATAGATACCTACTTCTAGTAATTTCTACTTACTTCTAGTAGTCAAAATAAAGAGGTACGTTCACCATTTTGTTACTAAAAGTTAACTAATGCCCAGCGAATGAAAAATTGCCCAGCAGATTCATCATATTAATAACCTCAGTGAAAGCTCAAGTTACAGTTTTTAAGTGAAAAAAAATGTGGTAACAGAGCAAGTATTTGTAAGGGCAGTATCTGACTATCCAACAACGCTTTCAGCACAGAGTCACTCAGATTATGCTGTCTGTCATAGCTAGTTTGTTTTATATACAACTTCTACCATGATGAAAAATCATGAGCTTGATGTGCAACACCCCCCCTTCCCATATCACTTATTTAGTTCTTTCAAGTGGAATATAAGTGCCACCAGTTCTGTCTCAAGTGTATACATGAAATAATACTAACATGGAGAAGTGAAGTGGGCAAGTGACTTGCCACATAATAAAGAACAGAAAAAACCTGAAACCACCTTCATCATCACCTCCACTTCCGATTGTCTCTCCCAAACACAAGAATGACTTTTGGTACTGTCAAATAAAATAATACTGAAAATGGTTTAAGACAAGAGACCCAGGAATTTCAATAATCTACTGCAAAGATTATATTAAAAAAGTAGAAAATCGATTTCTTATTTTATATGTGTTTATTCTGATCGCTATTGTGGTTCTGCCTTTTTATGCACACAATCATTCAGTCAATGGAGTAATAGCACATTGCAAATACAATGTAGCACCACAGGGTGGCAATACCGTACAGCTATTTATGTTACCTTCCTAACTGCTAAAATAATTGAGATAACTCTGAGAATTACATTATTAAGTGACCTTATGTTAGTTAGTTCAATAACTAAGCAGTGTATTCATACCTGGGGGTCCCAAATGCAGGACTTTCAGATTTTGATGCTTCCTCTATAAGAGGCATAACAATTTTCTCCATTGAGTCCGTGAGAAGAGAAAATGTTGGTTCTACAATGAAATCAATGAAACCTAAAGAAGAAAAAGAGAGAAAATCAGATTTTACATTTCCACAAGTCTCAAATCTAAAAATAAATACTTGCTATCAGGCTGATTTTCTAACTGTAGTCCCAATTCAATATACTAGATACCACTAGTATAATCTTGAACAAAAAAGCACAACTGAAACAAAAACCACCTAAAGCTGTATAGATATAACTAGATATTAATAATTACAGCTTTTCGTTCTTTTTTCTTGTAGATTTTATGCACTGCAAAATACATCAACCATTTGAAATGAATATTAATTATTGAATAGAAGGGAAGCTACTGTTGAGCCAGAGCACTAGAAGTCACGCTGTCTCTTTTACCATTCAGAGCTTCTTGCCAAGGAGTTAATATTTCAAATTGCTGTTTATTATTCTGTGGAGGTAAAGTGTTATTTCACAGTGTGTAGGAGGGTTCTGTCAAATCAGTGAAGAGAACAAGTAATATCCTTAGGAGACAGCATTTATCCCACAGTTCTGAGATGTCAGCTCCGAACAATGTCTTTTACATTTTAAAGTGCTCATCACGATACGGAATGACACAGTGAGAGAATGAAGCATTATTCTCTCCTGAGCACTTAATAGAAAAAAAATATGTTAAAACATGAGCTAGCAACAGATTTCCAGATGTCTTCATACTCTAACCATGCAATACAGCACAAAGGTTAGCAACAGTGATTCAGTCTAGAATTCAGCTTCTCTCCTGCAGTAGGTATGATGCTCAAGCATGTTGCCTTTAAAATCCCAGGGAAATGGAATGAAGGACATCATGAGTGACAGAATGCAGTGGTCCTTGTCAATTCAGGGAGGCTTGACCCTGTGTAGTTTGACCCTGACACGCTGACAGGCATAACTGCAGTCCAGAGATCTGATATGTGAATTAGCTTTTAGTTGAGACGCATCTACAAACTGGTACCAGGCTTTCAGATTATAGTAGAGACAGACCTGCAAGTTCCTGATAATCAGTTTGAGGACATGATCTACCAGACTCTAAAGTGTGTACAGTAGAAGCTAGGCTCATGTGCAGTACTTTGGTTAATCCCTCTCTTACCCCTCCCTGGCATCACATGTAACGAAATTACGTCACATTCTTTTGAGATAAGGAGATTTCTGCTGTAAGAGTATAGGAATTTGGTAAAGAGAGAGGTGCAAAAAATACCTTCTATATAATGGAATTTTGAACAATTAAAATTCAAAAAGAGATAAAAGAGTATATGAAATGTTTGTGTGAATTTAGATGCTCCTAACACACAAGAAAAAGAAAAACACAACTTGTCGTTACCTATTTGGGACTGAGCGACCAAAGTGGACTTGCGGTCACAGAGTGGGGAAAACTGAAGACCTAAAGCAGCTTCCTTGTCTCCCTGCAAACAACAGTGTTTAATATTACAAGCATATATTTGATAGGAGGACAGAGAGACAAAGGAATTTGAATGTTCTTATTATTTATTCAGTTACTTTGTTAACTTATATTCCTAAGTAAAAACAAGTCACAGACAAATCTTCCAATTTTCATTAAAAGTAGTAATCTAAATTCTAACTTACTTTTGACAATTTTCATATAAAGGAACTTACTGCAATCAAGTTCTCCTTAATACCAAGGCATCTGCCAGTGAAATGTAACATATATGAAGTCCTTCAACATTCACAGGTTAGTTCTGCTATCTCAGGTGTAATAGACCTGGACATACTTCAACATGTTTGTAATAGTATGCCAAATGCAGAATGTTTCCTTCTATTACACTGGTTCATCCAACATGTAAAATTCCTTCAATGGATTTACTCAGGTCAAGGGTATGAACTGACTTGAACTTAGTACCAGGCATGTCTCTCTGCTGCAGAAGCCATAAAAAAAGTATAAGTTCAGTTTCACTACAAAGATGATTTGCACAACCCAGTTCTGAAAACATTTCAACATTTAACTCATTAGAAGAGTATTTTTTGTTGCAACAGTCAACAGGAGGGTGTGTCTCCGTTTTCAGCACAGTAGATCAACCGTTTTACAAAAGCTCATAAAAAAAGTCTAGTGGCACAAAAAAAGCCCTGAAGAGACATCTTCCAAAGGAGGTTGTAATTTGTGTTTCTGGACAAACCTGGTCTCCAGAAACACTGCCATTATAGACATAGGAAAACTTGGACTTTCAAGTAAAATGAACTTACATTTGTTAGGGAGAGTGCTGTTTCATGATCATTCAGTGGGGAGCAGTATATGAACAGGCCATTTTCTAAAGATCTTGTCAGAAACTGATGGATGAAGGGGGTAGTATCGACCTTCCTTTGTCTTTTTATCATGTATCATTGAACAATATTTGAGGAAGGTTTAGAACCATATTACCAATAAAACCAATTCAGCCACAGGAACAGATGTAGTTTGCAGATTGCATTTCATGTGAAAGTGGAGAGTTTTATTACTATGGCTATTAAATTTTACACACAAGTGTTAATAATTTGATATCAGAGCATGGAAGAACACATGAACCCTTGCTACTAGGAGAAGTGCTAGCAGCATGGCTATGTAAATACAGGAGCCAGATTGTAGTATAATACAAACTGGGGTAGGTCTTACAATTTCAGTCATTGTTGGATACAGAATTTCTAAAGTAATATTAATTTTGTAATCTTTCCTTCACTAGGTATTAAAAAAGAGAAATTCTCACACTAGTAATGAATGAGTTTGAATTTTTTTTGTTTTCAAGTAGCTCTTTACCCCAATTATGACTTACTTTGCGATTAATAAAATAGTAATTAATACTTAAATGTCATGTAAGTCCAAGCCTATTGTAAATTGTAATAATGAACACAGAACTAATACTTAAATTAATTGTTAAAATTTAATGAGATTTAAGATTAAGATACAGATCAAAAACAGTAAAAAAATTTTTTTGTCTAGGTGCTGAACTCACTTTTAACTCTCTTTTAGTGTTTTTGGATCTAATCAGACTGAGAGAAGAATGCTACAGGAGCTGTGATTTTTTTTTTACTTGAACTATATATTTCTTCACTTTTAAGGGTCTGAGATGGGTGGCTGTATTTCTATTTTAAACAAGTAACTCAGATTTTCCTTGGCATTATAACACACTTTCTGTAGTTGTTGCTTAAACTTGAAGTGTTGTTCAGCTTTTTTCCTGTAAGTTAACAGTGGTACATATTTTAACCATTAGCTGTATTTAACAAAGTTTTTATTAATGTGAATGTTCATTTTTTGCTGATGATCACTGTTTTAAAAGCTGTCTATGAAAGCATTGGATTTGTATCAGCTGTTTCAGACTCTGCTGTTTTTCCTGTAAGGCAGTAGAAGTAGTTGAATACTAGCTTTAAAGAAAAGAAGAGAAGGAATCAGTGGGTTTTATATACATTTGGACTACTTTACCTTGGCTGACACACATTTGAAAATTCCAGAGATTTCTGTCACAGAGGCTCAGATCAACAGACCAGAGGCTGCACAACAAGCCAGTGCATCTAGGAACGTGCACCTACTGCTTCTGCACTGCTCAGTGCATTTATATAGGTACAGTTGCTTCATGACACTTTAAAAGTGTTGGACCTACTCCTCACACACTGTTCTTAGCAGTACATATAAAGAGTGATTCAGTTTCTTGTATGTTCCTCTGCAGCCTAGAAGACTTTCATATTTTACTGCTGAGTTGCAGACATACATACATGGTTGCATGTTCTATTGTTAAATGCTTTCTCAAGTCTTTTAGCAGCTTATTTGGGAACCAGTTACTTCTAATGAATGGATAAAAGATTAACTAAAACATTAGCTGATCCTATGCATTCAATGATCAGTGTGGTACTGTTTACTGCTAATGCTACCTCCACTTGACTGGACACATTGCCTCACTGTCCCATGGGCTCTGTCTAGTCTGTCTCTCTATGTCTAAAATGTTTTTACAGTTGGTCATTTTATGATCTTTTTTTCTGGGGTAATCTGCTCCTCCTTTTTGCTCTCAAGTTCGAAATCCTCACAATTTACATTTACAAAAGCAAACACAAACTCATGACTCTACTCATTATTTCCACAAAACTCAGTCCATTCATTATTTAGATTAAGGCACCAGCTCTCCAGTCTGCTTCCCCAGTGCAAAGCCCATAGTCAAGGATGCCCTGATGCTCCCTATTGAGAACTTGTGTAAAGAATCTCCATGAACTGAGCAAGAACCTTATAAGGTAGATGGGCCTAATAAACTCGTGGTTTAACACACTGTCTTTTTATTCTCTGATTCTTTTTTCCAGTGTGACCTATCTGATTTGAAAATGTCATCATATAGCACAATTAAGACAATCAAGCTGAGCAAGACACACACTGTTCCCTTATCTGTATTAACCATTTTTAAAACCTGTGCATAACTACAGAAACTGTATAATACCTAAACTGGATTTTGATTATCAATTATACTTCAGTAACTGTTATGTTGACAATGTGTGTGGTCACAAATATTGGTTACAGGGAGATATGTTTGTTTTCACCTGCTGAGGGGAGTTAAAAAATGACAGCAGTGACACCAACATCTACTGGGTTTTCTCTTTGAATCCAGTACCTCACAGAAATGAAAAGACTTTCACAAAGGTGTGTCTCTATTTTTGGTTTAGGATGTATGGCCACAGTGTTAACAGGATGGTACTGTCTAACCTCTGGTTTTAGACCAGGCTATTATGAAAGCAACACCTTCACATCTATGTGGCATATGGATGTCAAATACTAGGAAGGAAAAAAATACTAGCAAGGAAAAGAAATGTGAAATGGAGACAACTTTTTGCCTTCTCTGAACATGAATTCTTCCTATTTTCCCTTATCCTACCCTGCTGGTGCTTTTTTTTTAACACAAAGCATATATAAATCTCTGTTACAGAATGCAAACAGCTTGACAAGTTATATTATACTTGAAAGAAAAAAAACCACTACAACACTCAGAATTCTGATATCAGCTGAAATAGATATAAAGCTATAACCATTTCATCTTATTCACACACACAAAAGTTGAATTAATGTCAGTGGTATGTATGAAAAGTAAAGAATATATGCTACTGACTATACTTGTCAATCACAACCAACAGCAACCTCACTGGTAGACTTATGGAAATATTTAGCTGCATAAGCATTGCTTCTTGAACTAGATTTATTAAAGGATTTTAAAAATGGCACCTGTCGAAAAAATTCTTCCATCAGGGCCATGGTCCACCGGTAGTGCAGTTCCCAGGATTTTGCTGGATGGCTTATGTCTGCTGCATGTAGAATCAAAGACATGGCTTTGGCTTTGTCTACCCTGTCAATTCAAGGACATGCTCCAATTATCTCAAAACAAAAGCAACTATTTAAATTCTTTTCTTGCATATGAGCTCATTGAAAGACTACAGATAATGAAGAGAATGGAAAATAACCTACCCCTGTGTCTGCTGTAGAGTGTGTCGCATCGTTTTAATTTGTTGAAAGTGACCTGACATATCTGTAGACAAGACCATCTCAATGACCAAGCTACGCAACTCCCTGAGAATAATTAAAAGCAAAATGACTGATTAAAATTCATTTATTCTACGTATGGTACATTTGTTTAAGTGGCACTTGTTAATTTATAACTTTCAAAACAACATCATGGGGTTTATTACGTTTTAAAAAGCATTTAAATAAATTATTAACAACTTGAACATTGTATCCTAAAGGGATTCTGTGAAAGCAATGTACCTCAGAAAATGTACTCTTCAATCATTATTTCAGAGTCACACTGTTTTGTAACTCCTATTTGCTAGTGCATAAACCAATATTACATCCAGTTCTCTCACCCATTATAAGTCTTTCCTTATTTTGTCCAGCAGTAGAGTATTCAAAAAACCACTTGGTCTCTGGCTTACCACCACAAAAGAGGATACATTTGTGTCTTTTATTACTGCGCTTATATTAATGAAGAGTGTGTGTGTGTCACATTAAACCTAGGAAGAAGGCTGTGGAAACACTCAGAAGAGCAAGAGGTATTATATCTGAAACATTATCAATATTATATCACTATAAGATCATTACGACAAACTACCTTCCCTCTCAAAAATACTGTAATGCCTATTTAATGGTTCAGAACAAGTTCAGGACTTATAATTTATCTCTATCTTGGTATTATGGTCAGAGTTGGCTTGTCCGTCAGCTTTCTATTAAATGACCATGAAACCAGTAAACTATGAATCATGAATAATGTAAGAAAGTGTATTAATTCTGATTACATATTAAATTAAATTGAATTAATTTTGTCAATAATAATTACTGACTTTGAAAATTCAGTTTCCTTGATGTAGAAGGATTATATATAGACCATGCAGGAGTCCACTGGGTCTATATTTGCATACTTTTTAATGGCCTAGAAGGACTTACGTGCAAGTATTGCTTGTACATATGTGGGGAACAATTCACCACATTAAAACTTTGATTATGTAGCATATACCTTCATGAATACACCCCCAATCTTAAGGATGTCCAAGTATCAATTACAACAGTAGAATCCCATTTTAGTAATTTTCACTGACCTTTTATATTGTATTCATATCTTTGATATACTTAACATGTAGTTTTTTCAAAGGACTATGTTCTAAGGAGGTAATTTGCAGTTTTCTTTAGGGCTGCTACAATACTTTGTTATAAAGATTATCAAGACTGCTTTCAAGCCAAATTAATTACATATTTAAGCAGATATTCCTCATTATGTATTTATTCCTGATTTGCTTTGATGTAACTGGATAAAGACTCAATCCTCTCGCTTCTATTCAACAATATGAAGCCATAGCAACTTGTGTTTAGAAAATGCCCTACCTTATCTGACCTCATAATAATTTTGCACCCCAGCTGCTCCTCCTCCACGTTGCTTTGAAACTGTACCTTTCAAACACAGTCAAACCCATTAAAAAAAAAAACCACAAAACAAAAACCAAAAAAAAACCAACAACAAAACATAAAAACCAAACCAAACAAAAAAACATCAAAACAAACAAAAACCTGCTAATACTACATGAAAACTGATGGCTTTGCATTATTAAACCCTGTTGTTTGTAAGACTGAAATAATTAGCACTTCTCCTTTCTATGGAAGATTTTCCTAGGAACTTTAAATGTCTGAACTTTTAAACAGTGATCAGAAATAAGTTCACACCTACTCACAAAACACCTCATTCCAACTACACAAGACACACAGAGAAGTAAAACACTGTTTTCAGTTTACTCATATTGTCATGGCAGTGGAAAAACCCTAATTCTTACCTCCATCACCTGAATAAGGATCAAACAATGTAGCACTGCCCTCTCACGCACTTGTGAAGATTTTAGGCCACTAAAAAGCTGCTTAACAGCAAAGGAGAGACTGTCCACCTACAGTTGTTTCCTGCCTGCACCCACATCCATGATAATTAGAGAGAGAGAAAACTGAAACCTGACTGGAAAATGTTAAATAAAATTCTACTAGAGCTAAAAATGCTTTGTCTACTAGCATTGCACAGGAGATTACTCTTGGACTGATACCATTACCAAATTGCTTCCCAGGGAAAAAAAAGACTGTCTCAACTTCCGTATTGAAGAAGACCTGAGCTGGTCTTGTAGGTAACTCATGGACAGAAATCTCTCCCCATGATCATCAGGCAGTCAAGAGCTACAAGCATCAGGGTAATATAGTCAGCATTGCTCCTGCTATCTTGGCAAAAAGATATGCAGATATTGTCTTACTATGAAGAGAAGTGGTAACAGTATTCACGTATAGCACAGAATGTTTTTTTGGGCCCCAAATCCGAAGATTACTGGTTTTGAGTATACCATCTCTGCTTTACTTAAGCAATTGTCATGTCCTGTGCTGTCATGCTACCTTAACCTTCCTATAGCCATAAGTCCTATGGATAGGATACTGTAAAAAGACACAGATACAAGACTACGTGAAAAAATTACATGAACAATGGTGTAATGAAGAAACTAGGAGTGGCTCATGAATTTCTTGGAAAAGTAGTTAACCTGTAAACAGAAACCTGGACAAATGTTTGTGATGAAGACATTTAGTCAGTTGGAAATTAATAAAAGAAACACAGAAACAGACTAAGATGAGCAAAAGCAAGTTGGGAACTGAAGAATGAACTGAAGGTTCATCTTCAAGTTACAGGAATCCGCACACAGAAGAATCCCAAGGGAATTTGTGAAAGAAATGCTATTCTTTGTGCATTACATATAATATATATTGTTTTATTAGTCTTTTTTGTATCATTGTATGCCTTCTGACTGGAATGGTTTAAGACATTAATACTGCCTCACCACCTATAACTGTTGACATTAATGCATGTGGTGCTAGGACACTAGAAGTCTGGTAAATCAAAGGAGAAAGGGAGACAAACAAGTATCCCTCTTTAGTTTTTTAGGGGCACTAAGTGAGAGAAACAAGACAATATCAATGATTAGGACATAATTTCAGAGCTGAGAAAAGACTGAGAAATTACTGTGAATGTCCCATGCATTACCCATGAAGGACATCATCCTCAGAATGCTGGCAGTGTTTCCCTGCTCAGACCCAAAGCCTATGTTTTAAACTTAATTAAAGTTGTCAGTTTATTAGTACATTTATCTTCTTAAAGTTAACATGCAGAAGAGAAATGTAATACTATAAAGTCATTCTCTGTCATTTTGCTTCATCTTGCTGAAATAATTAGCAGAACCTCCATTTAAATAGTCAGCAGTGTTAAATTTTTTAAAAATTAAATCCCTGCACCTAAGAAAATAGACATGACAGTAGAAGAGAAATTAATCAGTGCCAGGAAGTACATCAAAAAGTTGAACAAATTATCATTTCAATTTACTGCCAACTTGATGCAGTGCAAACTTCAAAACTGTTAGTTTAACAGCATGAATTTCAGTATAGATCCAAAAAGCTCACTACAGTAGTAATTACAAAATTGAAGAGCTTCTGTTAAGTGGCTAACAGATCCATCACTGCACCAATGAACAACTGCATCTCATGACAGGGTTACAGGAATTTCTGGGTATTAGAAATGAATACCAGGAAACTATAATTTCCATGACTGCCGCTCTAAATTGAAGTCTCAGACGTGAACAGGTTGTGCAGGTTGGCACAGACTGGCATTTTGGAATTTACTATTTGCTTGAAAGTACAGACTGTAATTGCTTAGCCAAGTGACAAAACACAGAACTGAGTGTTCTGGTTTAGTTGCTTGAGCTTATTAGTCAATTAATAGGTCTCTTCTAAGTTGTACTGAATAGGCCCAAAAAGAGATGATAAATTCTAGTTTCTCTGGTTGCCATATCTCACCAACTTCAAACTGTCTGCATATAATAGGATCTGTGTGGCCACTTTATAAAAACAAAATTTGCAAAATTAAAATAAAATCCTCTAGAAAAACACAATTGGGTTACAGTGGGAGAAAACTATGGGAGAAAAGCAAGTGTAAACAGAGTCAGTGTCCGATCAAGCAACATCCAAAAGAACATGGTAGTTTAACACAGGTTAAAAAACCACAGAGAAATGAAATGCAACAAAAGCTAGACAAAATGGTCCATAACTGAACTGAGAAAACAACTATGGGAAACCCAGACCAAACAATCTACGCAGCGAAGAGTGTGCTTCACAAAGTGGAGAGAGCCTGTCACATTTCCCCTTTATTCTGTTTGCAGTCCACCTCAGCAGTATGTATAAACATCACACACCTGGAAACCGCAGGCTCCTCTTTCCATTGGCAACTATTTTGTTTCCAACCTATTACTCTTTTTCTCAGTGATATAACAAATGGGAATGACTGGGATAAACTCTACTAGCTGGCAGCCAGATTTCTGTCAGCTGGAATCAGTGTATTTTGCTTCACGGATTCCCAAACTATAATAATTTATGGTGACCTCCAGTGACAAAGAAGTCAGGACTAGGGATGCACATAAGTGTTTGTAAGCCATCCTTGGCACAATCTTGAACTGAAGTTCAACTGAAGAAGACCTGCTCCTTTCTACCTGAAGGAGTCGTGCCCTGTCTGGCGGGACACAATATGAAACAGCACCACTTCAAAAAAAATACTCAAGGCAACAAGCCTGAAGATTTGAAAATAATTTTCTCTCTAAAATGCTGGTTTTAAAAGACAGAATACCAGCTTCTGATGGCTATCTACTGGCACAATGACTGTCTCCACACTCAATAGTTAGGACAAGCAAAAATATGGTCACATAGACCTAGTAGCCCCAAAATTATCAGGCCCAAAATAGTTTTAGAAGAAGAAGGCTCGCTCATGTTGGCAATGAAAATATAGGTGTATAGACAGTTATTGCTGAAGTTTACAATTTACTTCTGGAGGTATTTCTCCAGAACTAAATTTACAGAACAAAAGTTCTGATAACTAAATCCAAATGAGTATCCTCTGAGAATAATTTTTTTAAAAGAATGAAAACCTGTATGCTTCCTCTCTCACTTTGTATTAAATAAAAAATTAACAATATTTTTAATATTGTGTTTTAGAAACAGGTACAGAAAAAGAATAAATTGCAAACCAAAAGGGCCAGAAGACTTACACTCAGTAAATGCTTTACTTAGGAGTGTTCTCGTCACATAGATAAGTAAAATCATGTAAATCTACCCTGTAAAACAGTCCTTCATCTGTAAATATACAACACACCAAAATTTGATCTGACATTCCCTCATAAATGTATGGTTTCATGAAAATATAAATTAAGCAGAGTATAGTTTTGTTATTCATGGTAGCACCATTCACAGCGCAAGACTTCCTGGAAGCAGAACATCTCTCTGGCTTTACAGTCCACCTGTTTGAAAGGGTTTTTTTAGGATCCCTGAATAATAGCTATGTTTACAGAAACACAGAGAAGACTTATATTTTGAATGTTATATGTATCAAACAATGATATACAAAGATAACATGTCCTTTTGAATAATGGGAAAGTCTTAGTCTAACACTTGTTCATTTTAGCCTTACATGTCTTAGTATTTGTGATATATCAATTATGATCCTTACTCTTTCAGCTGGGTAAATTTTCTTCAAGAATTACACTAAAATTAAGAAGAAAAAGAAGAGCTTTCTGTAGCACTTCTGGGCCTTTACCTTATTATTTCTGGACTCCCCACATAATAAATTTTTTACTGCTTAACCAAGATGTGACTACGGTGAAATCCCAGGGGCAATAGTGCTCAAGTTGGCAGTAGTGTGACTCGGCACTGTGGTTTTAACCCACTGTTAGACAAAGGTAACCCAGCTCCAGAGCAGCACTGTGGTTTTCCTGAAGATCTATCTCACCTGAGACACTGTCCACACAGTCCAGCACTGTGTCTCATAAATGTACAATCTCACTTGGAAAATTTGATTTTGTTTGGAGTCTCCCAAACAATATTTCTTAGTACTGCAGCAGCCTTCCCTAGGCTCTAAATATCCATTACTCTTTTCAGTGACAATGTCGTTTCCTGTAATTTGAACTCTTAAAATAGACTCCACGGGGAAGGCTTGGTGGTTTTTTTTATTTATAAATACTGGAATTATGTTTGAATGTCACTGCAAGTCTTACCTCCAGTCATCTTTGTTTAAATTACCCAGGATGTTCATCTCTTCTTCTTGCATGAGTCTATAAGCAGCACTTACATGATGATTTTCAAGAACAGAACGATCATTGTACAATATAGCAACATCTGACCTAGTGTTGAAAAAAAAAGGTAGATTTGGTAATAGTGTCCTAATGATGGCACTGTAAAATGTAGACCTATGTATTCTCTATGAGAATTATTGACTATATATGTGTATATATATACATATATATCAAACTATGTTTATTTGTTCCTATTGTATTGAATACTGATAAATTTTCCATCTTAGATGCATAAAAAATTGTCATTATACCATTGTATATACTATTTGTGAGAAAGTCATATTTTTAAATGTGTGATGTTTTATTTATATGATCTAAGTGGGACAAAAATTTGGGAGATCTTTGAGCTTCTTGACTGTAGACAGGACAACAGGACAACAGAACAACAGAAATGATCCAGTTAGGCTACCCAAGAGTAAACTTTGGCAATACAACCATTTAAAATACAATGCCTTCACCAACAGCATGGGTGTTAAGAAGTTACTACTCTTGTTTTCGGAGATGTGCTTTGGCCCATGTTGCTCATTATCAGAGGGAGTTGTAAATAATAAAATATTAAAAAGTTTCAATTTCATATGTTTTAAACAGACACCATCTTTTGTCAGAAACACAGCCAAACTTTGAGCTGAAATTTGATTGTGTTCAAATGCTTCCTAAAGAAAGACCCATACCATAATGATAGCACACTTGACACTATCCTTTCCCTCTTAATTAAAGACTAACGTACAATTCCAAAATTACATTGAAATTTTCACAAATTTCAATGCAGTGTGGATTTATCGTACTTAGTTTAAAACATGATTAATTCTTGGGGAATTTATTTCCCCAAGACCTGACCTGACCTGCTAAGCAACCTCAGGTCTCTCCTCTTTGCTACACTTCCATTCTGATAAAACTGTTACTGAATATTTCAACTGAAAAGTCTGTACTAGAAGAAAGGTGTGATGATTTAGCAGTGCAGCTCCCTCTGACATAAATAAGCTATATTGAACCTCTTGTTCTGTTGAGCAATATTATATATTGTCATATATGGTACTAAGGTATCTAAAGAATTAAAATAGGATTGGAAACTTTATTTAGAGGGAATGAACCATAACCTGCTAAAACTCAACATGTTTACATCCATAATCCAACTGAAATTGTGGGAAAATCTGTATTATGCCAATCACATATGTTTAAGAAGCACACTTTGATGGACATAGCTACTTATGGATAGGTTTAAGAGGTACTAAGATTTGCTATGATTCTGGCAGCAATTCCATCAACTTTTCTCAGAAGCTTGGAATTACAGCCCTGGGATGCCACATCAGGGCCAACTTACACTAAGAGAGAAGAATGAGCTACATTACAAAACAAATACCTGTTTGCAAGTAAAATTCAAAGGCTAACAGCTTAATTAATTTTCCACTCTTGCAATACTGCAGAGGAAAATATTAAGGACAAAAATAGAAAAGTAATATAAACTTGGAACTACAAACTGGTTTATTTTTAGCCAGATTGTGCTGAGAGAGAAAAGAATTGTGTCCTTACTTCAGCTGCAAATCTAGAATTTGTTCATTACTGAAGGGCACATCTTGGAGTACAAGTATGTTACAGATTTAATTTAAATGTTACCTTTGGGCACTTTATCCATATCAGTGAGTGTGAGGATGCTTCCACTCAAAGTATTTATTTTTCTAGCACTGAGCTGTTTTATTAGAATATGCCAGTGTGATGCTGAATTTATTTTTTTTTAAGACCAGCTAAAGCAAACTCCTCAACTGAGGATACTAAAATCAAAGTACAGCCTAGTGTAAGAGAAAAATAAGATGCTTTGAATTAGGTTAAGTATCAGGTGTACCATTTATCACTTAGTAATGTATTGGTCAGGGATTTTCCTTCAGTAAGCTGAAAATATTTTAATGGGAAGAGATATATGCTGTTGTACAGGACCAGCAGCTAGAATGATATGCTGCACCTACATGAGAATACAGCTAGCCTAACTTTCAAACTGGATTCCTCTCCAGATTTCTTTTTCATGCCTACTGCAGATGCTGTCAAAACATGCTAGGAGAGGGCTCATGGTAGGTATTTCTAAAGCTGTAATTGAAGGTTTCTCCCTCTGCACCAGGACTTCGTAAGTTTAATATACAAAATGAAACAAAATGTAGCACCTGAAGTATGTCTAGGCACATGCTGAAAGAGAGGTAGTATTTTTATGGGGACACAGTAGAAGAAATTTTTTACTCAGAAATATCAGAATTTAAGTGAACAAATAGAGGGGTGAGAGGTTTTCAAGTCCATGTTCTGAATATTTTTGAAATTTCTCTTGACATATCAGCTCCAAAATAGAATGATTTCAAATGTTATGGAGCTATCTCCTTACTTTTCCACTGTCTGTCCATATGAATGGTCTCATTAACTGTACAGAGGTCAAGGAAGCAATCATAAAATCAGGCATGACCTGGCTACTTCCTGGTTTTACTAGTAAGAGATATGAAACAGCTCAGACCAATGAACAGTGAACTCCAGATATGACTCTTAAGAGATCACTTTGCTTACCTTGTCTGAATATGAAAATTGTTTGTGGTCCCAGTATGTTCATAATCATGGACGGCAGCTGCAAAGATCATTGCTAAAATTTCCAGTTCTGTGAGCCAGTGCTGGTAAGTGAAAAACAAATCCTAGTCACACTTACTGTAACAGCCTAACTCAGATTAAACAGTACAGTACTGAAAATATTTTGCACTACCTTTAACTTAAATAAATTTTCCACTTGTCTTATTCCAGGCAACTATATATCCATAACACTTCAGTATTATACAGTAAAATAAGTCCTTGTACTTGTTATCATTTCTCTGAGACCAAGTTAACATCCATTTGGTCACTAGCAAAGTAAATATTGGCAGCTGAAAATATAAGAAGTTATCAAGAGAATTATATGGTGTACTTTGCAACTGCTATCAGTATCCAATCTGTTATCCCACACATGACACTTGCCAAATTATGCCATATTAATCTAAAAGCTTGATATGAAGTTAAGGTTATAATTTATCTTTTAGTAAACTATATATACAGTTCATAAAAATTCAACATACAACATCAGCATTAACTATACTTTGCCAGTGTACATGGTACTAAAATTAGGCCCATGGGAGACTTTTCTGTTCTAAATTTTATCATAGTTTGTACTGATTAAAAAAAAAGGGTGCATGCAGTTACACAGAACAAAAGGTAATACAGGTCATGTATACAAAATAATGCAGACCCTGGAGTTTTGTGCCCTTTTATAACTTGCTAACTGAGGCTGTTCTGTATCACTCAGTTTGTAAAATAACCTCTATTATCTTCTTTTAATTTCTGTTTCTTGAATGCTAAATCATCCTTGAGGATAAAATTTACTCCATCTAAAAATGGGGGCAGAAAAATCATATCATAATTAACCCCCACAGTCACAGGACTGATTAAGTCAAATACCAGAATATATTTCAGATGTTTTTGGCATAAAAGTAAGCTTCTATTCTAAAGGATCAAAGAATGATCTCAAGTTTATGCACCCGAATATGCACATACATGTGTATGAGTGTATACGAGATATATAAGCTGCCAGATGTAGTAAAAGTTGCCAATAGTAGCACTTCTTTCGAAGAAGAAGAAAGGGAACCGTCAAGATTCATAAGTAATTTGAGAATAATAAAATAGGCCATTCAGCAACAAAATAAGACTGCTGAGGAACAAGTACTGCCTGTTGGTGAAGCAGTACAGATTTTAAAAGGTCACAACACAGTAAAGAGAATGTACTGTAAGCAGTTCTAAAAATGGAAATGATGACCTTCATAGTATTGTGTGTCAGAAGAAACCAGGCCATGACAAGTCCTGGCTTTCACAATATTTTCAACATACCAAATAGAATAGAAACACAGAAATTATTAGTAACTAAACATAAACTTTTTCTTTTAGATGTCTTTTTAAGGTCAGCTTTTCCAGCAACCAAAATAGTTGCTACACAATGCATTTACAAGTAGAAGAACATTCCTTACAAACAATATCTATGGGTGACGCAGAGACTTCATACAGTAGCATATACAGACACAAGCTGTACAGTCAAAATTGAGATCAGTATTCAAATCAGAGAATCAGAGTACTTTAGCTGAAGCATTTCTAAGGAAGTAGGAAAAAGTTCTTAGAGAGACAGTTAACAAGTGTTTTTACTCAAAGGAAGAGGTAAAAACAGGTATCTGGAAGTCTGCAAGACTGTGAAGAGTTGAAACCTGTTCCCTCTCAAAAGATACTACAACATGCAGGTGTAATGCCTAATGTAAAATATCTCTTCTATTGAGAACTGTTTTCCAGTGTTATAAATTGCTTATAAGTAAATAGATACATTTCAACTCAGCTCTGTTTGAAACTAATTGTTTTACAACAATGGATTAAAAACTGAGTAAGAAATGGAGTCTCAAAATTCACTTATTGACAGTAAGCTTCTTTACTTTGAGCAATACAGGTACGTGGGAGGAGAAAAGAGATGGTGGGAAGATGATCGATGACTCAAAAGTTCTTTACGAGATGTATTCCCTGGGACTTGGATTCTTAAATCTTTATAAAGATGAAAACTTCATAAATGCAACCTTGAGTTATACATTTCAGTCATATCATCTGGGATTTAATCTCTTGGGAAGGTTAATAAACTCTGTGCCATCTGTGATATCTAACTTTCTAGCACATTGATCTGAGGTGGCTGGATCTTGTTTCTTAAGAGAGACAGCAACTTTTGAAAAATATAATGATAATTTTATTTCTTTAACTGTGACTCTGAATATGTGTTATTCTTCACCGGAATCTTTCTAAGGGTTTGTGGAGAAGCATAAACTCTGACCAGCCAAATTTTTTGGCAGTTGCTGAAATATGGCTGTTTTCCAGCTGCCTATAAAAATACAAAACACATGACCTCAACAACATGAATTGTGAAACAGATTTTCTAAAACCCAGCTTTTTGAAACATTTGCTTCAGTATGTCTTTTGGAAATGAACAAAGAAGACAGCAAATCTTTGCAAGTTTTTGGAGTCAGTATGATTTCCTGATACAATAAAAGCCAATTAACTTCAAATTGCACATCAACCTGCAAAAAAAAAAAAAAAAAGACAAACACCACTGGAATTTGATCTAGAATTGCATCAAATTGACTCCAATCCAGGTATTTGCCAGAAATACTGCAGAGTTAAAAGAGGTGCAGAATGGACGTGCTCTGAAAATTATCAGCTTGAGAAGCAAATTTCAAATTGTTAATGAGTAGGGTTCTGGAGAGTAAACCAGGCAACAGGGAAAAAAAAAAGTTAAATAGAAAAGTCGCATGATACTGATGCATTCTCAAATTGCAAGAGATATTTGGGACAGAAATACTTTACAAGCTGCAGAATCACTAGGCCCTCTTTCAAACACCAAGTTCCATAAATGTTCCCTCTGCCTAGCAAGCTATATCTGTTTGAAGGCACTCTTGACTAAGTGTTGTCCTGTTTTATCATAGAATCGTAGAGTCATAGAATGGTTAGGGTTGGAAAGTTCCAATCCCCCCTGCCATGGGCAGGGAAATATTGCAATTCAGTATCATAATCTGGCAATTAAAATGTGAATTAAAACTGGCCTAATTTTATAGAAATATTTTGTAGAGGTTTTGTAGCATTAATGAGGTTTTACAGCAGCAAAGTCTAAACTTTTTTGAAAATAGTTGTCCAAATCACATCAAAGTGCAGTTAAAAGATTAAGATGCTAATAATGTAAAACTAGTGTTGGTGAGGTCTTTCTCATACTTGTGTGCACTCAGTGAAATAGCAGATATTCAAATATGAAACAGATTCCTTCATTGAGTGTTCAGAGACACACAAAGTGTGTTGCAAAGCTGTTTAATCAATGGCAAAACATCCAAATTGGCTAGGACAGCTTTGGAAGCTGGAACCTTGTTCTGGCATCGCAAAGAAAATCTGAATGCTATCATGTTTTTTGAAGGGCAGAGGGGCACAGATACAATGGGCAAAAGGGATGTTTATAGTATATAACAAAACACAGGGATTTTCCTCCCTGTTAAATTGCTGACCCAGGTGTATATCTGCAACAAAGACATGTCTCACATCACTTAACTTTTGCTGTTAACTTTACAGTAGAAGACAAGGGTAGGTTAGGAACCATGATTTAATCTCTTCAATATTTTTCTTTCATTAAAATACTATTTTGATAGATCAATATTGTATACAAAAACTTTGGTTTGGACTCATCTTGGCAAGAGCTGTCTAGGCTCTGCTTCAGCCTGATATGAAAGTCATTTTTTTCAAGAAAACATCTCAATGTGAGTAGGAATCTTGGCTGGGGAATACTCAGAGCTTAATTCAGGAAGTAGCATTGGAGTTAAAACGTAGCTTTAAAAACCCGATACTTAGAAGCAAATTACTTCCTTCAAACAGTAGAATAAAAACCTGCAATGCCTAGGGACGACTTCTTGCCCCCACTACAGCCAAAGGCAAAGTTTTAAGCGAGAAAAGGCTTAACATAAGCGACTTACTGACATTTATTTTGTATATATATGAGCACAAACATCTAGAATCAGTCCTAAATTTTTCCTTTCCAAAGTCTTACGGAATTGTTTCATAGCTCTGCAAACAGAAATCAGATACTATCTCTTTCAAGTAGTTTTGTTTGTTGGTTTGGGTTTGTCTTCTTTTTTTTTGTAAACAAGTGTATTCACAGTGAAGACGAATCATCAAAAGGCCATTGATAGCAATGTCCCTTCTCTTTCAGTCAGTGTTTACTTCTGCCTAGCAAGCTGATAGGGAGGAGACTCCCACTGCTGGTATTAAATATAAGTGTTTAGAAATAAAAATGCTTGCACAGACTCATTTCAGTCCCCAAATAAATAATAAAAAATACTGTGACATCGCAAGACAAATGCAATATCCTGCCTACTATAGGCATATACAGTATACAAGAGTAGTCCTAAAAAAGGCAGTAATCTAAAAGAAAAAGCAGTTGCAGAGTGCATGACTGGGCCAGATGGGACTTTGAGTAGCTTGGTCGAGTGGAGGGTGTCCCTGTCCATGGCAGGGCAGTTGGAACTAGATTATCTTTAAGGTCTCTTCCAACCCAAAACATTCTATGCTGCTATAATTCTAAGCCTGCACTGATTCAGTACATCTTTCAACAGCCAGGACCTCAGCAGATACTAAAGCTTCCTTGCCTGATCACACCTCCCATGCTGTGATGTGAAAGTAAAAATTTCTCACCTGCCCACTCCTGCAAATCTATCTATTCTAATATGATATATAATACCCAAGTCCAGGCGACAAAAAGAAACAAGATTTAAGAAGGATTTTTTCCCTCCCTTTTCCCTCCACATAGGGAGAGCTTCAGCTCAGAAAATCTGTTAAAATGACAAAGTTCACAGCCTGAATGGTAGTTTGGAATCTCTATCTGCACAATTTTCAAGGGAGATTTTTCCTTAAGAAAAGACATATGCACACATTTATCCAAAACAGTAGAGTCTGAGAAAAAAAGTAAATTGAACTTCACAATATTTCTTACCATGATACCAGTGTGAATCATTATGTAATGCACAGTTTGAGTAACGTCAGCTGCATGGACCAAATTGTGATATGGATTTTTGTATTTGCTGTAACCAACTTCAAGAGCTTCAGCAAATGAAATAAGATTGGGAACAGGGATCTAGGGAGAATAAAACATTAAAATAACTGTTTTTTTCCTGCAACAGCTGCAAAAGTCAATCATGCAATAAATAAACCACAAGTAATATACTACAGAATGTAGTTAGCAAACAACAAAAGAAAAAATTCAAATGTAAAGGTCAAATATCATACATGCATCAGTGAGTCTTCATCCAATTTTTGTAGATGTTATATCCCTCTACATACACCATGCACAAGAGACTGCAGAGCTATCAACCAAATGGTTTTCAAGACATGCCTGTCTGTCTATACCGGGATAGATTGCTCATATAATACAGGCATGACAGATAGGAGTCTAAAAATAGGATTATCTCCTTTTCTTCACCAGTTTTACTTGCTTGAGGCAAGGTTTCCTTTAATCTCATAAAATGACTTTCCTTCCTCCAGGCAATATGTGAAGTACAGGTACTATCTAGTCCCACTTATTTTCCCATTGTGCTGGTTTTGGCAGGGATAGAGTTAATTTTCTTCATAGTAGATACTATCAGACTATGTTTTGGATTAGTGCTGGAAAGAGTCTTGATAACATGTTTTAGTTACAGTTGAGCAAAGGTTATTCTGAGTCAAGGCCTTTTCTGCTCCCCATCTCACCCCACCACTGAGTAGGCTGGGGGTGCACAAGAAGCTGGGAAGGGACACAGCCAGGACAGCAGGCCCAGCTGACCCAAGGGATACCCCAAGGATGTGGTGTCAGGGTCAGCAGCACAAAGCAGGGGAGGCCACCTGGGGGGCTGTTGCCTGGGGACTGGCTGGGCATAGGTCAGTTGTGGTGAGCAATTGTTTTCATTTGCATCATTTCTTCTTGGGTTTTATATCTCTCTTGGTTATTTTCATTAATTTTCTATATTATTATTGAGAACATCATTCTCATATTATCGTTATTAAACTGTACTTATCACAACCCACAAATTTTCTCACTTTCACGCCTTCAATTCTCTTCTTCCATCCTGCTGGGGAGAGAAGTGAGCTTTTTTGGTGGCCAGGGTTAAAACACATCACCCATATAATGAAATTACATTTGCCTTAAGAATTTTTTCTTTATTTAAAAGCCCTGTAAGGTAAACACTGGAACTGAGAATGGGCTTAAACCCACTCTGCCGGTAACATTGTGTACTTCGGGTCTGTGTTGTTAATGGTAGCCCGGGTGTGGTTCTGACTTCAAGCATGGGAAGCTTGTTGTTACAATTAAAAGATTCAGAACAACTTCAGGGTGAAGCAGTCTTTTCAAAAGGACATGGAGTTTTGCAGTGGAGAGATTCTGAAAGTATAAGAAAACTTTCATTTGGTTCTATCATAATGATAAATTTGGCATTTTGATCCATATTTTTATCTCACCCTTTCAAAACTGGTTATAAGTACTCCATATTGTATTGTAAACCCCCGCAAACACCATGGAAAACCAGTTTTCTCTTTATATATCCCTTCAAGATGGTTAGGAGAGGAAGGTTCATCTGAAGCCCCTCGACAGTAGTGAGCAACATACTATGATCTAGACCATGAAAAAAGTACTTGAGACTGACTACAGTTTTCTGCATTATTAGTAATCTTTGTTCCAGGAAGCTGGGTCACTGATTCAGTCCTGCTGAGTAAATAGGCTGTATACATAATCTATTTATGTAGTGCTTACAAATGACATGACAAGCCATTTTTTGGCTTGCAGAAGTTCCATTTGGTAGAACAATTGGAATATTACAATATTTGATGTGCCATATTCTTTGCATTGCCTTGTACAATAAAAAAAGTCCAACTTATGCTGTCATCCTTGCATTTTAAATTTGACATATATATATTTTTGCATGCATTATTTTATTTGTGGCTAGTTCCTGACCTTGAAACGGCTCAAAAGGTCATATCGGGTAAACAGCTCATACATCATAAATTTCAGACTGTGCTCTCCACTTGCTTCATTTAGGGTAAATACGTCAAAAGACCATTTATCAACATCCTGTAGATGAGGGGAAAAGAAAAAACAAAACACAAAAAACCAAAAACCATAACATTTCCATCTGCTTAAATAGGTTCCAGTTGATTATTAGAAAAGATATTTTGGAGGTTTTTTTGAGGGAAGGAGGAGAGTTTGTTGGGTTTTTTATTGTCTAATTCTTTCAAACTCCTACTGTAGCTAAAACATTAATGACTATTTCAATATTAATGAGGAAAACAGTTGTACCAGTTATGAATAAAATACTTGTAACATGACCTAGGCAACTTTGCATGCTTTGAGTCAAAGGTCTTAATCTTTCAAATTTAACTTTCTGAGTACAAATCATATAAAGAACCTTATGGAGCAATGGGAATACCAACCTTTAAATAAGTCATTAACACTGATGTCATTAACCCTAAAGAAATTTGAGAATAATGTAACAGTGTTTGACTTTTAGGGGAAAAGCTGAGGTTCTCAATTCTCAAGAAATACCAGCTTTTAATTGCTCACATAGACATAGGAACTCAGCTCTCCATAAAAGATTGTCTTTTATGTGAACTGAAGCAATACCTTAAATTCAGAGCAAATATTGTACTTCTTCCACAAGCTTTGGATTCTTTTGTTAGTTCTATCCCAATACTATCTCCTTTTTCTTTCCTGAAAAGGAAAAAATTACTCCTGTCTGAGACACTGATTACCATACCACTGGGAGCTGATAAAACTACACCTCACATTTCTATAAAAATGTCTATACAAATTTCATCCTATTGTTCTAATAATGTCTAAATGAAATCACAATTAAACAGAATCATATGCTGGTTTTGAATTTTTAACTACTAATTTCTCTGTTCTGTGTGTTAAGTTCTGTAGTATGGCTAGGGTATGCTCAGTAGAAAAATAACTTCATTTCACCCTAAAAGTCACTAAACATAAGTACAAATACATTCAAATTCCACAATGATTAGACTTATTTCACCTTAAATGTGACTATCACTTCTGATGGGTATGCCAAACCAACCATGCTTGAAGTTCTTCGATACATCCTAAAGAAAACAAATAAAATATCAAGACATAGCACTCCTATAAAAAGTACCAGAACAATTGATCTTCTTTTAATTCATTTTTCAGAGCTTTTGAAATAACATTAAGCTATTAATTGGTCTGATCCCAAAGATTACATAAATCTTTTTATGAACTTATGAGAAAAGCACCTCTTTTATGTTAGAGCAGTCTTTGGTACAATTTACTGCAGAAGTTGCAAAGCCTTTGAGTTCATCCCCAGAATTTTCCACCCTTCAGGAGATTTTACAAATTTAGAGGTTTCACCTGGATTTCTACATACAAATATAAAGTGATTGCAGAAACTCAAGCATATACCTGTCTCAGAGATTTGGTTCAGGTTCATACGATCTCTTAAAGAATCTTCAATGGCAGACACTGTGGTTAAATGCTGCACTTGCTGCGATAAGAAAACCAAACTCTCACCTTTCTACAAAAATCCCAGCCTGTACAGCATGCACAATGCTTCGGAATTTGGGCTTTTCTTCAGATCTCCTCTTTGCTATTCCCATTTCTCTTGTGAATGTAGAAGCTAACCAGTCCCGCACTTCCAGCGGGACCGAATCCGACTGGATGTCAGAGAGTTCATCCTCAGTGTCCAAAAGTTTCCTACAAAAAGATTAATACAAAGTAACCAACAAGATCTCAGACCAAAGCAAAGAGGAGTACAGAGAGGTGAACAGCCAACAAAACTTGATTTCAGAGGAGCCGAGGTAGTCCGTAAATTGACTCAGCACATTACTAAATGTCTTCTCTGGTAGAGGCCAAAGGGAAGCTGCACACAGCAGATCTCTTCTCTCTCCCACTGGTCATGTTCCAGAAGGTAAAAGATATTAAAATGGAAGATATTCAACTGAAGGCAAAAGAAGATTTTTCGACAAAGTTATCAAAGCTTTGGTGGATTGAAGTGTAAACAATGAGCTATAAAATCTAAAAGATTGACTTACAGGAATGTCTATAGAAAGAGGGGTTGCTGCTATAACCAAGAACACCAGTGGTCCACCCAAAATGGTGCAAAAGTTGTTTTGATACTTAGATGCAAAGTAAATGATATTACATAGCAATGCTATGGTGAATGCATGCCAGTGAAGACCCTGTATACATGCTTGTCTTTTTATTGCAGTGCAATAAAAGTATTAAAGAGAATTAATTCCTTTAATAAAGAGAACTCCTTCTGTGTGGAGATCTGTATTCCTATTAAAAGCATGGTAACAAAATCATAGCAATAAAGATATTATACAAGATTGGATTGCAAGTCAGCTTTCACAGTTCTAAGCAGTTCAAAAAGCTAGAAAAACTTAGGTATAGATCTTGCAAAATAGAAAAAGTATTAAAAAGAAACTTCACTTAAACAAAACTGACTTGAAGGTCATCAGTTTATTTAGAAGAAACATGTAACTAAATATTCTCTTAAAACAGACTCAACACTTCCAATCCACACTTCTATAAACCTTTTTCTTGCTGTTATTTGCCCATATCACTCAGACTGCTGAGATTTTCCAAGAACCTAATCCCTTATTTAGTCAGCTGTCAAGTTTTCTTTCACACAATTATGAAAGAAATCCCAGAGTTAGGATGACCTGAACACATGCAAAGCATGCCACTCTTCTAAAATGTTTTGTGGAAAGTGGTACCAACTGAATTGCAGATACTATTTGATTATATAAATCTATTTCTCCAGTGCTGCCGTTCTGAAACTCCTCGAGTTTGTGTGAATTGGACATAAAGCAATGATGGACAAAATATTGTTGAGTGTGATTTTTTTATGAAACAATCCGCTTGTCAAGGTAAAACATGGGCCTCTTCTCCTGAGTGAACAGGATTACTGGGAAAAAAATTTGGTGGGAATTCAGCTAACATATTTGTGGATGGATATTTGGGAGAGGAAAGTTATCACTTTCCTATCCATTTTCATGTTTACACCTCTGCCATTGTCTTTTCTTTCTACCCTTAGCAAAACTGTTAACTCCTTTCCCTATTTATGCACTCTCTCCTCATATTAGTTTGATGTCTCTTTCACACCTTTCACTTTCTCTATTTCTCTTACAGGTTTTCAAAACCTGACCAAATCAAGGTCTTCTCTGGCACATACAGAGATTAAGCAGCAACACAGATGTTTAAGAAAAGCCTGAATACGGTGCAGTTCAAAGGAATCCCTATATAAATCTAATGCTATCTGAGGGATTATAGGACAATGCCTAGTAGGAAGCATGAAGTCAGAAGATTCATATAAATTATTGGTGAACAGTGAGCATAGTGTAGTTGTGTACATCTGCTCTGTTCTCAGTTTCAGCAGGTCATTTGGCTAGCAGGCTATTTTGTAAGGTTTTAAAACTGGATCTAAAAAAAATTCCATAAAATGCACCCCTCATCCTCCCCCAGGTTACTGAAAGATCAGCAGAAACTTTCCTATTTTTCAGAGACATAGAATTATCAGTCTAGGAAAGTTCTTTAACATGGAGTGCAAGAAGAGCAGAGTGGAGAAGAATTATGAAATTTTCTGAAAGTGGGACACAGGTCAAAAATCAGTAATTTAAATTGGAGGAGCAGGACTTGTGTAGAGGAAAGAATTTGGGCAAATTATCTTGCAAAACTGATTGAAGGCTGAGATTGTGCATAGGCCAAAGGATATAAATTGGCTTTATTCCCTACATTAAAAACAATGCTATAGTCCACTGAAATCCATACCAGTCTAACACCATTATTATATATCCCTGCAGAAATCAGTACATTTATATTTCTGAGGAATATTTGACATTTGATATATTTTTAGTACAGTAAGGGATAAACCTTATAATCCCTAAAACATATTTTTGTAACTATTCCAACTGTTACTCAAATTAGATGAAAACATTCCAGCAATAAAAGGACCATGGGCATTAGGCTGCCTCATGGCATGCAGCAGGGATATTCCACATCACCTGTGCAGCATAAAGCAGAGCTCTACATCAGTTTGCTACAGCCTGATGCAGACCTGAATTTGGGACCAAGTCCTGAGCTCTGCAGATATGAGCCACTGCAGTACAAATTAGGGCCAGCAAGACACACTGAAGTTTATCTAATAATTTTAACCATTCACCTGTAAAGTAGGAGGATTATTCAGTCTGTAAATGACAGTAACAGAACTTACTTCATGAAGACAGATCTGAGAAAACAGTATTTGTAAAAAGGGTTTATTTAATCAGTTATTTTCCACTGCTCTCTGACAAGAGATGACTGAACAACATGCCAAGGGGGAGAGAGAGTTTCAGTGTCTCTGCTTCCAACTTCAACAGTAGGAAAGTAACTGCAATATAGAATTACGTTGCAAGTACAAAATCTTGCAGCTCCCTCAACACATAAGCTTAACAACTTCTCAAAAAGAATTAGTTTCTTTGAGAAGCCTAACTGGAACTACATTCAAGGAGAGGAAACAAGGGCTAGTCATTCATCTCACAACTGTCTATTTTCTAGACTTTCCTGACCTTTTGAAGAATAAGAATTATATTGGGGAAAATTACTCATGGCATATGCATTGCTAGAAATGGCCTTTGAACAATTTCACTAATGACTGCCATTCTTTTGTAATTACAGGGACAGGGCTCCTATATGGGTCTACACATCTGAAAAAATTGATGGTTCCATCAAATTCCCCAATTTGATGGAAATTTTATGTAGGAAGGAAAATAAATTAGACTATATATTGCTTCATACAAAATATGCTTAATTATAAAAAATTCTTAGAATCCAATTTCAACTAATTTCACAGCTTCCAGCTTTTGTCAACTTTTATTCATCTATTTTTACTTTGATTATAAAATACAGTCTTTCCATTATATTTCCATGGCTCTAGATATATAAGTACTGTGAAATACATCTAATTGTTCACCTTTTACTCACTGATTGTGAAAGCATTTCTTTAACCTGGGGATACCTCACTGCAGCCTTTCAGTACTTAAAGGGGGCTTAGAAAAAAGAGGGAGAGCATCTTCTTACACAGTCAGATAGTGCTAGAACAAGAGGGAACATTTTAAACTAAAAGAGGAGAGATTTAGATTAGATGTCAGGAAGAAATTCTTTACTGCAAGGGTGGTGTAGCAGTGGAACAGGTTACTCAGAGAAGATGTGGATGCCCCACCCTAGACATGTCCAAGGTCAGTCTGGATGGAGCTCCGAGCAACGTGGTCTGATGGAAGGTGCCCCTGCAAATGGGAGGAGGGTTGGAAGCAGATGATCTTTAAGGTTCCTTACAACCCAACCCAACACATTTTATGATTCTATACCTTTAAAAAAAAAAAAAAAAAGGATGGAGATGAAATAAAATCAGAAAAGCAGAAGACAGGATCAAAACAAAGACACACAGTTAAACCACTGAACTTCCTATCAAATATTACAAGGATTTTTGCAAGATTTTGGAATATAATTTATAATTGTATATAGCAAAATGTAATTTGTAAATTGCAATATAATTTTGTGACATTCTCCAATATGTAAACTCCTACATAGGTTCAAAAATGTCGCTCTGTAAATTAGTGGACAAGCGACCATAGCTGTCAAACACAAGGCTAGAATCTCTAGCTTAGAAAATATTTGGAATGGAGTGACTGCAAGACCCAAAGTCTCATCTCCAAATCAATCATCCCGAAGATCAGAGATTGTGGGCATTTAAAAGCTACATAGTTGTTCCACAAAATCAGTCTTCAAGTAAAACTCACTGAGATAAACTCTGTTTAACTGGGAGGCATGAACTCAAATATCCTAGTTCTATTAAATAAATATACGTTGCCTTGGAGGTTTTTGATTTTTTTAATTTTTGTAGATTTTAGAAGTAGCTGTATTTAATATATTCCTCACCCTTTAGCACAGTAGTTACACATACCCAACCCTATTACCCCATTCCATATCAATTCCCCCTAAATTCCAGTCACATATTTAGTCTCTTTTTCAAGGTAGGCCTTCATTCTGTTTAAGAACATCTGCACCCTGGCCTGGACAACAAGATATCACCAGGGCAAAGCAACCTTCAAACCCAGAACTTTGGAAAGCTTCCAAGGACTGTACGTGCTCCAAAGAAGATGAAGATGAGAAAGAGGGGGTTCCAAAACTCCCCCAGACTCAATTCCCGAGGGGCAGAACGGGGCAAAGGCCGGGGGTTGGACAAACACGGATTGGATAGACATCATTACAAAAATTGTAACACCTGAGTCAGGGAGTGCACACATGGTTTGTATTCCCAGAGCCTGAGAGGCTTCATTAAAACCTTCCCTTATCTTACCTCCTACTTAAATTGCCCTGGAGTTTTTTTCATCCTGAGTCTTTTAGGCAAAAATATATACTAATATATACCAAGGCACACACACCAATTTTTCTTCCATAAAGCTAAGGAACACCCAAAAATGCTAAGAAACGAAACAAAAAGGCTGTAACAAAATGTGCCACAGAAAGTACATTTTTTCAACATGAAGTCAGAATTTCAGGGTTACATACATTTATTTTGCTCATATATCATTAGCCTGTTAAGTAGATGCAATATGAGGAAGAGATACGCGTGGGAAGGAGAGGGGGAGGCTGGGTTATTTAGTTCTATTCATTCCATGAGTAGAACTTCCATTGACAGTTGTGGGAATAAG